CATGCAGATCGTTTCACCGCAACGCATTTCTCGATAATTGCTGAATGCACCTTTAACAACAGATTTCATTAAAGACTTATTATACTGTCCCCAGGTTATACTGATTCACATGACATTGTAATCTTAAAAAAAGAGCGTTTTCGAGCAATCTATACCCTTACTTTACATGTTCTTGTTCCTCCGGTTTCTTCATCTCGCCCCTCGCTCTCACCTCTATTTGTTTGCCATAAAAAACGTACAAACGCAGTGAATCAATGAAACTCATTGAGCAATTCAATATTAAATTGAATTTCCTGAAATGAAAGTGATTGCCCAAACAGTCTACTCACTCAGGTCTATTTTATTAATTTGAATGTACGAACCTCGAAATTCAATGCACGAAATTTGAAATCTTAAGAACGTTCACGACTTTGTATCCCCGTTAACGATTTTTTTTGTTGTTGGCCCTATAAATTTCTAAAATTCGGATAACAAATTCGAATGCCCTAAACTGAAATAGTTTTGCTGATAGTTTTGCTGGATGCTCATAACTAAATGGCGTGTCTCCAAATGAATTCCATCGCCCGGATTTTTAAAATTTGAAAGGTGGATATCGATCGTTAAAAGGTAATGCGTGCATTTGAAAGCACCTTAATTGAATTGAGTGATACATATATGAAAGTGGGCGGGAAAACCTATTATAATAACATCCAACTAAATGAATGAATAAATTCATAAATGAAGAGATATATTAATTTATAAATTAATAAAGGAATGGATGAATAAGTAAATACACTGTTGCCTTGAACCATAATGCATGGCCCTACATAAGATTTTTTTTTCCTGTTGGCGACCGGGGGAAAATGCAATGAATTATTGATAATTTATTGCATTTTCTTTGTTTTTTTGTATTTGTGGGGGCGGCGACGTACCCTAGCCCCCGCTGCGTCATATGGAAACGTTGTATCATCCGCTCACTCTGACTTGCGTGCATAGAACAAATAAGCATTTTTTCATGAAAAAGTGAAGTTTTCTAAGATGTGCGTTTCTTTCCAGCATTGGGGCGCCCGGAAGTCACTCGGGTAACATTTCATAAAGTATAATATAAAAAGTCCATATGCAAATGTTGAAGAATAACAAATAGCGAGTTTCAATCACACTTTGGCCGCTCTCGCAAGCTCTCACTCGTTTCAATGTGGTCAAGCGACTTTGGGGCAAGCGGTTAATAAAAATACTAATCGTTAGCCTTCTTCTGGTATTAAACTTGTTTTGATTGATTGTATAATTATGTCGGAATAAAGGAAACAAAAAGGCCCGACCAATAACTTATCAGCGTCTGAATTGACCTTTAGACCTTGAATTCCCTGATGCAAGCGCACTAATGAGGTCATCTTCGCTAAATCGGTGTCTTTTATCGTAAAATGCAACACTTTATCAATGTTTATACATCTTTTTTTTTAATTATTAGTAAGATATAATATATTTTTCTGATATCACTGAAGTTTTGGGTTTTATTTAATGAGTAATTTTCAAATAAGAGCCATTTTACTGTTTTAATTTACTGGATCGTACCATTAAAGTCGCAGGGTAGAAAGATGCATTTCCAACCGCGCCAAATTTAATTTACGTTCCGACATTCTGTTAAATGGGTTCGTGTTGTTAAGAATCCACTGCTTTCTGCTCCAACACACGTTCACATGCGGAGTCGTTTATCAACTAAATTATTCAAATTTATGGATGCTTCCTAGCTTCCCAGGTGTTTGTGTTGCTGTTGAAGCATTTTATTCACCTGCTATCATTCTTTGTACTCCAATTGCCAGAACGCAAATTTCATTTTGGTTTTATAATTTCATTGGAGTCGTTTATCAACTATATGTATTCAAATTTATGAATGCTTCCTCCCAGGTGTCTGTGATGTTTAATGCATTTCATTCACCTGTTATTATTCTTATACTCCAATTGTTAGAATACACAATGCATTTTGGTTTGATAGTTTAATGCAATAATTCAATAAAAGAGTATGTTATGCACAATAAAAACAATGTGTGTCCCTATTGTACAATGTGATATGTCCCCTCATTTTGTAATAGTTAATTTACCCATTCACATAATGGAACTACCTGCCCGATGAAGCCAGTGGCATGTGACCCCTGAGCACTCAACACCGTGTGGGAGTCAAATTCTTTTATGAGACAAATACAAGCAAACGTTTCCATATGCAGTCATGACTCACTGGCTAAGCAATGGCCTCGTTAATGTAAGGCCCCAGAATAAAAACCGTGTCGATCAGCTATATGAGTGCCCTTTTGTGAGGCATTAATCCTCATTACTGTCATCTATAACTTAAGGACGTAGGTCCCTAGTTGATTAGCATAGTAGCACACACATGCTTTAGCAGTCACGCAAAACAAACACTCGCAAATTATTACTCAATAAAATCTGAGAATGTATGCTATCATTTAGATCTATTAGGAATAAACCATTGTCAAAATCATTCCATAAATTGGGGTAAAATAATGATTCCACCTTTCTGACCAACAGTGTAGATAAATTATCAAAAAATAGATATATAAATAAATAATTAGATAATTAAATATTAGATAACTAAATGAACTATAATAGCAAGACTATAGTGAATGACTAAAATTCACATAAAATGTTAACAGTTAGCTGCATTTAAAGAGTGAAATAGCAACACTTTCCAAATCTACCGCTGTTATTGCATTTAAGATTATGCCGAAATAAATATTGTGCAGGCTTTACTAATTCGTCCTTGTTTTCACGAAGTGACGGTAGTGAGGAAAATCGTCACGCAAAGTGAATGCAATTTTTTTTCACTACCGTCACTTCGTGAAAACAGCGACGAATTTTGTCAAAGTTAAATTAAGTAACGTTTCCATGATAACATTTAGAATAGTTTTAACGATATTATACAACTGCAAAGCACTGCCATACATTGGGTCTATATTTTGAAAATGGGCACTTATCCTTATTTGCATAGCTTTGGGGCCTTGTAATTGAAATATGATTTGAACCGTACTCATTAACTTAAATTTGCTTTAACAAAAAAATACATATCCATTTTAGACAATGACAATTAGACAATGTACTCTGAGGGTGCCATTTTGAAAATGGTCACAACGGGCCTTAAAGCCCGTCTGCACTAGTTTGACCAGGGGGATTAGACCTCCCTGCAAGGTCACTGACAGGTGGGTATCTCATCAAATCAGCCCTCAATTAACATAAGAAAAAATGAATAGGGACCAACGGACACCCATAATAATTTAGAGGGCGCAAGTAGCTAGTGCAAGTAGTGGGGCTTTACGAGCCAAATCTGAAGTTGCTCAATATCCAGGTCTGCTTAGAATATTTTAATATACCCTATGTGTAAAATATGTGATTTGATCACAAAATGTCCGACCAAATCGCTATGCTGACCCACTTAATAAGCGAAGATTTGATTTGATTTGATTTATTGATTTCTATATTATCATTATTTTAAACGTGTATAATCTTAAACATACACAATTTCCATCAGTGTGATAAAACTTATGTTTCAAAGTACAATACATGATACTCTTGGAACATAGACAATACATAGGAGAAAAATTATTCATTTTTACAATTAACATGATGCAGGAGGGATACAGCGTAAGCATGAAGCTTGAAATGCTTGCAGCCCTCGATTAAACTAGACTATTATTAATTAAAATAAACTAAACTAATCTATATTAAACTAACAGCCTACAGTATATAGGAAACATAATGAAGAGAGTGAATGACTTGCAATAGAGAGAGAAAAGATAGAGAGAAAGAGGGAAGACTGGAGAATTCCACAATACCAGACGCCTGTTGACATTAGAAGACATGTTTATAAACGCCAGGATAGGTATGGACAATAGTGGTTGAATGAATAATATACATAAAGTGAAGATACACTATGAACATGACGGACAAAGAAAGCGGACAGAATATACAGTTCCTCAGGTAGATAGAGGAACATCCCTTCACTGCTATTATGTAAAAAAGTGAATATGCATGTGACACCTGTTCTACACATGTTTACATAATAGCAGTGAAGGGATGTTCCTTTGTCTACCTGAGGAACTGTATATTTTGTCCGCTTTCTTTGTCAGTCATGTTCATAGTGATAAAAGCACAAATCATTAATAATGGGGTTATGAGGATAGTCTTTACAGCTATTTTGACTTCATATTTCGAATTACAGTAAAGAGTGAAATTCCAAGTATCTGGATCAGCATGTCATTAATATGGAAGGCTATAATACGATTTTTTGATTTTTCAAATAGAATTTGTCAGCTTGTCTTGGGGAATACGAGTGTACATGTTTATTGATATCAGATAAATGGGGGGAAATAAGCGGGAAGTTGCCTGTTTTGTAAGCGAAATATAAAAAGTACGGTTTGCAGGGTATAAATATCATCAACTTTTAGAGTTTTCAGTTAAAAAAACAGTGGTTTTGAATGTTCACGGTCAGAAGGATTAGTACAAAGACGTAATGCTTTCTTTTGCAATACTCTTTGAACTTTGAACTTGCCTAGAGCATATTACAATACGAGATAAATGGCAAAATTAGAGAATTATATATCAGAAATAAAATGTTCGTTGGGACATAATGTCTTAATTTACATAGCATACCAATTTTGCGTGAGATTATATTGAAAATATATTTAACACGGTGATTCCACTTCAGATTTTCATTTATTAAAATACCAAGATAAGGTCCAAGATTTATTCAGTCAATGCTTGAAGTTACAATAGGAAATTTAGTAGAAATTAAATCACCACCGTTTAAAAAATGAAATTAGTCTATTCATTTTCTATTTTGGAATATTATGTTATACAAACTTTGTACTTTTATCGGAAAATCTGGAGAAAAAAATTGTACGTCGTTCACAGTTTATGAGAATAAAAATAAATTAGATAATGATTAAGTAAATGGTTCGTTATTGTTGAAACCTTATCAGTGGTAAGCAAATTCCACAAAAAGTGCTACTCACCAGCAATTAAATGATGACAAAAGTTTCGGATGATATATGAGATCACATGAGCAATTCGCCTGTTTCCGATTTCATCGCTATTAAAGGCAGAGATAACACATTGAGTAACGAACACACGAATTCAAATGGTCATCAAACTGACAAATTGAACTGACAAATTGGCACAATGAAATTGTTCCAACGTCTATATACCCGGTTTACGCGCGCAAGCATTTTTTTACTTTACAGGTACAGGTGTCGTCTGCAACCATGCATGCTTAGTGGCGTATCAAGACATTGCCCTTAGGAGGGGTAAACAGGTGTATTAATACCTCCAATTTATTTAAGAGCTGTAGAAGACAGCAACACATTTCAGGAAGGTAAACTTTAGAAATTGAAGAAATAAAGTAAGATTTCTCTGGATCTCAGGTACCTATATACCTTTCTTCTCGTCGACTTGTTTTCAAGGAGTGACAAGGGTGTAGTGGTGACAAAGAGTATAAGTCAGAAAAGAATGATGCGTCCCGAAATAAAGTACGTCACTATAAATATGCTAGGATGGTTGTTGTTGTTTTTATTTTAGTTTTAAGGACAAGTATTAGTCCGTAGTGAATATTTACGCCACAGAATCGTGGTGTATTAGTTTTATTGGCGTGTATCATTCATCTATATGAATATTGACGTCGAAATAAATCAAGGTTATAGTATTTATCAAGACGTTTCCTTGTTATTTCTTCGTTCTTTTGCTTGTTTAGTTTTAGTAGATAGCATAATCGTGAATCGTGATACATGTACATATTCCGATCTAATAATAAACTTTGTCCCAGGACCAATACCAGTGAAAACGAGAAAGATGAAACCAAAAAGTTTGTCGGTAGTGCACACAAAAATTCGCCACGTAATCATGCTACTCGGCATATCTTTCTAGGATTTTCAGAAACACGATTGTCGTACTTTGTAATGCTAAAGGCGTTAACATGATGCATAAGATCTAAAATAGTGACCTGCATTAATTTTTTATGTTATTTTCTTCTCCTTTTTTTTGGAGGGGGGGGGGAACAATGAGAAGAGGAGGAGGAATTTTAGGAAGAGAGAGAGAGAGAAGGAGAGAGGGAGAGAGAGAGAGAGAGGAGAGAGATAGAGAGAGAGAGAGAGAGAGAGAGAGGGGGGGGGAGAGGGAGAGGTAGCAGAGGAAAGACGGAGAGTAAATTAGTGGAATATAGATGCACACAAAAAGACAATGATTAATTAAGTGCTCTGTGATCAATATATCATAGACTGGAAACAGATTACTGTTGCGCATTCCGACCAGCTTTCAATTCGGAGTCGGGATGTAGAAACATACCCCTAAACGCGTAAAGTAGGATTATGAAAAAGTACCCCTTTTCTTGAGGAATTATCTAGATAATCTTCTCACTGAGATTCGGTCCATCAAATTAATTCAGTAACCACCAAGGAAGTATATAGGGTTTTCTGCGCATGTATTGTGATCTAATGTTTTCAACCATGTTCGCTGTTCAAATCGGGCACAAATGGATTTTTACTTCCATTCTCAAAACAATGTTGCTAGGTCTAGGTGAAGCGTGTATGGATTAATGCCATCAATTCATAGTTAAATTTTGATAGCATATTACTTCTACTTTATGAAAAGCAAGGAATCATATTGTATACAGCTCATTATTATAGTCTGTTCACAATATCTGTTACTTTTCGGGGTTTTTTTTCTTTCTGGGACGCACTGAATAGGGACTTTTAGATTTGCACGACGACATAGTACATTGCTTTGAAAGGCAATATGACGTCCTTTCAGCGTCACACGTATCAGTCCACTATGTCGACGTGCAAATCTAAAAGTCCCTACTATCAGCTTCCAGCATGACCCGCGAGTTATTGCCCCCCCCCCCCCTCTCTCTCTCTCTCTCTCTCTCTCTCTTATATATCCATATATATATATATATATATCCTATCTACACATTTTAAGAATTATGAAAATATCCGCATTTCCTTCAAGGTAGCTGAAACCGAGTATCAACAGGTTGGTTTTCCCTTTGTTAGCACATTATCTAGAAATAAAACTTACCGAAATTACAAAAGAGGAATTATATCATCTTTATCACAAAACAAGAGAGGGTAGAATGTCTTGAGAGTTACACAATTTTAGAAGGCTACTCACTTATCTCTAGAAAGTGAGAACAATAGAAATGGGTTAACCGGGCAGCAAAGAATTCTATACACTGGTATTTCCTTCAAGGTTGATGAAACCGAGTATCAACAGGGGGTGTTTCATAAAGCTGTTCGTAAAGTTATGCATGACTTTACGAACGACTTGTATATGAAGTGCCAGATAGGATGCCCAAATGTTTTCCCGATGTTTTAACAAAAGTGTGACTATATTTCCAATAACCTCAATTAAATTATGGCAAAAAATATACTTTGCATTAATTTTGTTGTTATAATAAGAATGTTAATCTTCATCTGCATAGTTCAACTTTAGTTGATGCAGTTATTAATGGTTGAGCATCCCATTTGGCTTTTCATATACAAGTCGTTCGTAAAGTCATGCGTAACTTTACGAACAGCTTTATGAAACACCCCTGGTTGGTTTCCCCTTTGTAAGCACATTATCTAGAAATAAAATTTACCAAAATTACAAAAGAAGAATTATAATATCTTTCAAGGTTTTAGAACTCGGTTGACTTCACAATTTGGTACAGTCGATCTGGTCATGCGCATACTATAACTCCGAATTGGATTATTGTGCAACATATTTAAGGTGTTGCAAATTTGAGATATATTTTTCAAATCATTAGCAGTGGTCACCACAATGTAATTGTATAGCCCAATAATGAGACGATAATATGTGTCTTTTGTATCATTTTTCCATTTTTTCCATGAACATCAGAAATACATTATTGAAAATACGTTTTTTGTTTGTTAACTCAACAGTTCAACAAATATTTGTATCTTGAGTAGTCAATTTCTTTTATATTCTAAATGTAAATTACTTTGAATGTAATGTTTATTAATTTGTTGCGAATGAAAATCAATTAAATATGGAAAAATATGGAAAGAAAAATTAAGGTTTCACGACCCATGCTCAGGCAACAACTGCTCCGCGGTCTAAAATTATTTAGTGGATTCTACAATGTAGAAGTAAGTTCTTAAAGCGAACTTCAACCTTGTGCCAAACACGAAACTAACTCAAATCCTTAACATAAATAGGGCAAATAATGCAGAAGTCCTTTGAACAGTTGATAGTTAATTCAAATGTCAATACGATTGAACCACAACCACTCCATTCTTCTGTGAGAACATATTCGCATTCTTTTTCTATGGATGTTCGAAGCTGGCGCTAATTGCATTGACAAATAATTGAAGAGCTACAGTTTCCATACTCCATGATATTTTACAATATTCAGACGTGACACAAAGCAATTGAAAGGAATTGTATAAAAATAGAGACCAAAAAGAGGCGAAAGATGAAATAAATCAGGCCAATGAAAATGGAGTTATAAAAGTTTTAAAATATGAAATCAATAAATCCAAGCAAATTCGAAATTGGCAATTTAATTAGCACACTTTTACAGATCCTCTCACTATGAACATGACTGACAAAGAAAGCGGACAAAATATACAGTTCCTCAGGTAGACAAAGGAACATCCCTTCACTGCTATTATGTAAAATTGTGTAGAACAGGTATCACATGCATATTCACCTTTTTACATAAGAGCAGTGAAGGGATGTTCCTTTGTCTACCTGAGGAACTGTATATTTTTCCGCTTTCTTTGTTCGTCATATTCATAGTGTCTTACAAAAAGAGACCATCTAGAATCATACATTTTGAAAAAAATGGCAGTTTAATCGTTATGTGTATTGAAATAAATGGGAAAGTAGTCCGGCACTTCGTCACAGTGACGTTACCGATTCAGCCAATTCGATGTGCCCATTCGTATAGTGACGAGAACTTCAAAAATCCATAAGTTTCTTCCTTTTTTTCTGTCAGATTATACACAAACTTTCACCAGTCTCTGATTTTGTTCTGCTTTCTGTTTAAGTATATATAGTTGTCTGTTAAGGTTGGATTTCCCTTTAACAAGTTTAATGGGTAGCCTATAATGAATTATATGGAACGGAGAACTATGGTAACAACGAACCATAGTTAGGCCTACCATACACACTACAGTTAGCATGGGGGTTAACCCAGTAGACAGACAACCCTAAAACCAACAAAACAAAGGAGATAATAACATAATCACAAATACGTTCGAAAAATCGAGCCTATTAGCAATTTCAATGATATAATCCGAACTTGCTTTCTATAGGATGTACGTTGCCCTTGAGTTGATATTCAAACAAAAATTGCGATCGTGAAATGCTGGAGCTGTCAGTTTGCATGGTGAACTGATACTCGATCAAAAAAGGTGAGAGAGAGAGAGAGAGGAGGAGGGGGGGGGGGGATTCGGGATAGCAGAATGAAACATTCATCCCTTAAGGTATGTCGTAACCGTCTTTTTTTCTCTTCCTCACCCTCTCTCTCTCTCTCTCTCTCTCTCTCTCTCTCACTTTTTCTCTTCTTTCACCAAAAAAGTGAAAAAAATATGACATAATTTCTTTGAGAATGTCAAGGGCGGGGTCAAGAGCAACAAGGGGAACCCACTGACCTCTACAGTGGCCAGTGGGGGAACCCCCCATCGTACATGTATGCCAACTCGCCATAAGAGGTGGACTAGTCTGCACGTACAAACTAGCTTTTTCAGTCACGATTTGACTTTATCAAATAAGCAAGACAAGGGGGGGGGGGGGGGGGGGGTAAGCTGACATTTTTTTTTTTTTTTGGAGTCCCAAAAAAAATCGCAACGACTCAGCCAGCCGAAAAGTCGCTCAGTGGGGGGGGGGGGGGGGGGGGGGGGGGGGGGGGGGGGGGGGGTAGTGAGCACAATTTTTTTTTTTGGTCCTCGAAAATTTTAAAATTTGCACCCCCCCCCCCCCTTGAGCGCCAGGGGGGGGGGGGGGCCCAACCCCCAAAAAAGGTAAAAATCGCGTGATTTTGCATGATTTTTTTCTCAAGGGGGGGGGCCCGGGCCCCCCCCCCCCCCTGGATCCGCCACTGTGTGCACTAGACTGTGCTGTCGTTATGGGGGCCGTTTCTCGAAACCGTCATAACTACAAGATCAACGACATCTCGCCACTGTCACGCAACTTGTCAGCTAAGTGTTTCACAAAGCCGTCTTTGCCAAGATGAGCGACAACTTCCGCGACAAGCGAGTTGTCACTGCTCCGAACCTGTCATATCTTTTTAATTGCTGTAAAGCGCCATCACAAGTCAGTTTGTTGCTGTTCGATGGGCCGCGAAATGTACGATTAGTTTCACTATCATTTTGAGAAAAATATAGACGGGTTCGGTACGTAATTCTCTGGGATACGATATGCAAATGTACAGAAGTGATAATACAAATTATACAGAAATTTTAAAAAGCTGAATATAAACATTAAATCACAAATCATTAAACTATAACATATAAATAAAAGAGATAAGAATGTTAAACACCGTTGTCCATAGTCAATCCATAGTCTTTCTGAGGATACCATTGTACCTTTGGGGCCTATGTGCATTATTATTCCCTCTCTAATTACTTCTTTCAAATTATATTTTCAATATCAAATCAATTATATAACGAGTATTTATGAGACTCTAGAATAAAAACTGGCTGAGAAAAGACATTTTGCCTAAAATTCCTCGGCATAATAAACAAAAAAGTACGTATTGATAAACTATCACATTACGGTATCCTTCAACTAACTTTTGATTCGCCTGTCGAAAAAAAACACTCGCCGGTTTTTCTTCAATTTAAGAATCTTTACAGAAATATGCAAATCGTTTGATGATGTAAATATGATAATGACACTATTTATTATTTATTTTAGGAGAATTTATATGTATATATTTCTTTTTGAACAATTTTAGCCCCAAAACTTGTTTTGGGTTATTCTTGATAAATCAAAGGGATCGTGACAAAGACTATGTTCTTGAGCTGCTAGTATCGCGATATATCGATATCATGTCTGTCATGGCTTTGTGAAACGGTTTATCCGCTTCATGACATCTCCGTAGGTCGCCGACAAAGATATGACTGTCATGGAGTTGGTTTCGAGAAACGGCCCCCTGGTCTCTTATTTAAGACACTATTGATAATGGTTTGTGCCTGCAAAATATAGCCTACATATTCACACGGTCAAAGGTCAATTTAAATCTCCCATTGATGTCCATGTGGCAGACCGGTAATGCTGAGCTGTGGCTTCCGTCGTTTGTTTCTTTTGGCGAATTTCTCGCGAGGCATCACCTCAAAGCACTTTCATTTAGGTGCTGCAAGTTGCTCCAGCTCTTGGGGTTCTAGAAAATCAGTTGGGAAGGTGGAGTTTCTTGTTAATCGTTTAAAAGACGTCGAGAAATTATCTACAATGGCCGGTCAACAAGATGGAGAGGTAGACATCGAAACTGTGCTCGCGCCCCTGCGAGCCTCGGTGAAAGAGCAGGTACGTATCCGCTGAGCAGTGCACTGCTTCGCCCGGCGTATACGTAGGCGTACATAACCAATGATACTATTGATAGAGATCGATGATGCAATCTTTTGCAATCACCGCAACTCCAGGTCTAGACAGCAATAACCATCTGATTTGGGTCATTTCTTTAATAAAACTGACATTTGTTGTCATTCCCCAATACAGATGGCAACCCAGAGATCTCGTACCGTGGGGCAGGCTATGTACATATTTTCGTCCACGACATTTTCTCCCCGATTTTCTTTAGATCTAGTCTAGATCTAGATCTATTTAGATCTAGACCTAATTTCCTGATTTCTAAATCAGATGTAAATTAGGTCGGTATGTCATTTGTCCTAATTACAGTTATCAAAATTTGATCACTCAATATTAAATGGATAATTTATGGACTTACTTCTATATGAATTATCCAATTTGTATCTCTGATACGTTCATGCACTCGGAACATAGGGCTATATGACCCGGCGGCCAAAATATTTCCGGGTCAACCTACCAAAACATAGCCAAATGGCCAATCAGAGCACTCGTTTCGTGGGAGTTCGTTGGTCAAGCTGGGCTTACTCGTACGTAGCTACGGTAGCTATTGGACGTTCGAAAAGAAAAAATGAATATTCATCAACTAACACCAAGACGGATAATGTTGACGACGAGACTTTCTCGGATTAATCATTAATTTAGGATCTAAATGAGCAAGCTATCGTAAGTCAAATAAGCTATATATATGTTATTTTTAATTTGTGTTATAATTGCAGCAGTTATGAGGATGTAAGAGTGAAAATCTCGTTGCATATCTCATTCATCGCGGTCCGGTCGAACCGAACCATTTGTTCCGTACAGTGCCTCACAGAAAGAGGTCCCCAGACTTCAGTCTCTATAATCGGAGGTCTAGTGAGACTTCAGTCTCTATAATCGGAGGTCTAGTGGAGCCAGACGTAGTCTCAGTGGAACAACCGACGATTAGAGAGACTGAAGCTTTCGGTCTACTCCAGGTCTAGAAAAACAAATAGATCCAAATAACAATAAATAAAACAGAAAACACACTTTTCTGTAATTTAGAGTCTAGGACCTATTCTAGAATCTATTCTAGATCTAGACCCTAGATCTATTATCTTTTCTGAATGAGACATATGTTATAGATTCTAGATCTAGTAGCCCTATCTATGGCTATACAAATTACAATTACAAGTTTAGCTAGTAAATACAAATCTAGACAGAAATAACCGTCTGATTTGGGTCATTTCTTTAATAAAACTGACATTTGTTGACATTCCCCAATACAGACGGTAACCCAGAGATCTCGTACCGTGTGGGTAGCTAGAGCCAGCGATGAACATCTTTTCGTTCACGACATTTTCTCCCCGATTTTCTTTATTTAGAATAGATTTAATTTTCTGATTTCTAAATCAGATGTAAATTAGGTTGGTATGTCATTTGTCCTAATTACAGTTATTGAAATTTGATAACTTAATATTAAATGCATAATTTACGGACTAACTTATATGAATTATCCAATTTGTATCTCAGAACTGTGAAACATTACGTTCATGCACTGGAACATAGAGCTATATGACCCGGCGGCCGATATATTTCCAGGTCAACCTACCAAAACATAGCCAATGGCCAATCAGAGCACTCGTTTTGTGGGAGTTCGTTGGTCAAGCCGGGCTGACTCGTACGTAGCTAGGTAGCTATTTGACGTTAAAAAAGAAAAAATGAATATTCATCAACTAAAACCAAGACGGATAATGTTGACGACGAGACTTTCTTGGATTAATCATTAATTTAGGATCTAAATGAGCAAGCTATCGTAAGTCAAATAAGCTATATATATATATTTTTAATTTTCATTATAATTGCAGCAGTTATGAGGATGTAAAGAGTGAAAATCTCGTTGCATATCTCATTCATCGCGGTCCGGTCGAACCGAACCATTTGTTCCGTACAGTCCCGTACAGTCTCTATAATCGGAGGTCTAGTGGAGCCAGACGTAGTCTCGGTGGAACAACCGACGATTAGAGAGACTGAAGTTTTCGGTCTAATACAAATCTAGAAGGTCCATGTTTCGAATACTTCTTTGACTCTTTGAATTGAGGAGATACATTTTAAAAGAAAGAATGTAGACGACAAGTTCAAAGATCAGCAATGCGTGACATTTTCATGATTCGGCGCGTGAGCACGGTGCGAGGGATAACACACGTATAAGGTATAGCGTTTTTTCAAAATCTAGCACGCGCGATGTGCGTAAGAGCATTTTCAGACCCTCGAAATGTGTGATGTCATGCCTAATGCCTGATATTTGGTAGCTCTGTTACTATAATCTACTTGTGATAACATGCAATTAAAGCATGGTTTATTTGTCACTCATGGTGGACAGCATGCAGCAGTGCCCTCATTGTTTCTTAAATTCTTTTTCAATGTATCTCCTCAAAGAAGTATTTGAAACATAGATTTGTGTTCACTTGTATAACATCTGTCTTGTTTGACTTATGAAAAGACAATATTTATGGAATGCTCCCCTGTGTAGTTCATAGTTCATAGTCTTTTTTTTTTCTTCTTTCACTAACATTTGTACATAGAATTTCAAATAAAGAAACTGGAACTGCAGATTATCAGTATAACAAAGATAATTGGAAGCGCAATAGTAACGTTCAACATACAACTCTTGTTATTATCTATTATCTATAAAAAAGTTACTTATGTAAGATCATGTGCTGTACATGAAAGAAAGAGGAGACCTTATAAAAGCTGGGCTTGTTAGAGCAAGGTCCCCAAACAATATAAAACCGGAATGATTTAATTTCTTTGAGTAAAAAAATACTTAACAACTAAACTACCTTAAAAGACGAGAACCAATTACTGTACACATGGGAAATATTTACAAAAGAGATAGATTGATGTATTATGAAAAGGAGAAATTGGGAAGATATATATAAGGATGGAGAGCGAAAGTGCAAACCAGAACAAAGCAGCAACAGAGAAAAGTTGAGAAGGAAGAAAGTTACGGTATATGCAGGAGAAATGGTGATGGGGAAGAAAAAGAAGAGAGAGAGAGAGAGAGAGAGAGAGAAAAGAAAAAGTACAATAGAGCAAAAACAGAACAAAACGAGTTTGCTGTCACTTCATGGGTAAATAGCATTTTTCTGAGTAATTTTGAACCAAATTAACAAATTACATTGTTGTGGTCTAGTGGATGAGTCACCCAACTACAGATCACAAGGTACGGGGTTCGAGTCCGCCTCAACACTAAAGTCCTTTTGCAAGACGTTGATCTGCATTTGCCACTCTCCACCCTGGTGTTAAATGGGTACCCAGTAGGATGCGGAAATAAATGTGGTTGGTTGAGGGGAGTAGAGAATGTGCATACATTGTGTGCCAGTAAGCCTGAATCCAATGACAGGGGTAATAATATATCTGTACAGTGCTTCAACACATCGTTGTATCAATATATTAGGCGCTATACAATAGTGGAATATTATTATTAAAATAAATTTTTAAACAAATACCAATATTTGTTGGGAGGGACTGAAGTTGAAAGGGTTATATCTTGTTTATATCTTATTGTTTGTTTGTCCCTTAAACCAGTAAACAGAGAGGTGTACAGGGCTTTTTCTGTTACTCCCCCTAAACCTGGAACTCTCACAGCTTTCAAGAGGTGTTTGGAAACACATCTTTTATAATTTGTTGTAAAGTAATATTCCTCTCTGTTTGAAAATAATGTAAGCTTTAAAAGTTCATATGATGTTCTCTCTCTTTGCTTGTTTTTAAGTATTTCATGTTTATGCTCTTTGTACCTAATGAAAAGGCTCTTTATTAATGTAATATTATAGATATATTGACTACTATGAGAGGCATAGCTGTTTCTATAGGCTCAAGGGGACGTTACATCCTGTTATGAACCCGAGGAGAGGTATATCATATATTATATTACATATGTGTTTACAGGGTGACCTTGTGAGACAGATGAAAGAAGGGGGGACTCCAGCCCATGACATCAAGAGAGCAGTGGTGGAACTGAAGGCCAGGAAGAAGGCTTTAGAAGAAAAGGTAAAGAACATTCTTCAGAAGAAAACGAAATTCAGTCAATTTCAGTTTGATCTTCCAGAATTCATCAATCATCCCTAATGTTTAAGAATTGAGATTTTGACACATCTGTTATTTTTTTGTAGGATGAACATTTACAGACCCCCAGGTTGAAGGAAATGAAGAAGTGATGCTTGTATTATTACAACAAGGAGGTCAATCCCTTTTTCTTTGAATTTTGTTTGAACAAAACTAGATATTATTACCACAATGATGTCATGAATGCAAATGACAAATTTGCCTTATTCAGGGGTGTTGTGGTCAAGTGGATAAGTCTCCGGACTCTGAATCACAAGTTACGAGGTTCGAATCCCTGCCACAACACTTTGGAAAGACGTTAATCTACATTTGCTACACTCCACACAGGTGAGGTAAAAGGGTACCTGGTAGGATTATTCATTGAAATGCACTGTGCACTGGTAACGGCTGCCAAAGCTAAAGCTAGGGTAACTATTTCCAAAGCTCTTTAGAAGCATGTAGGGACATTATATCATAATGTATTGTGCGCTATACGAGAACGGATTACTATTAGTATTATGAAGATTGCTCAACCTATAAGATATTTTTGCCCTCGCTATGTTGTTCATTACTAAAGTATACTCGAAGTTGAGATATCGATACTCTCCCCTTTCATAATAGGAGCTTGCTTTGACGTCGATAGGTGAGAAGTTTGATCGGGCCAAGATGGAAGACACTCTGAAAAGGCGCTTCTATTATGACCAGTCCTATGCCATATATGGAGGTAAGTTTGTTTGAAATGATCAAAGTACTTACCGTCTAGTTTTATTCTAAGGAGCCCTGTTCTGTTCGTATCCCATCCTAGCCACTTAGGGTCAGGGGTCATGGATTCACACACCAATGCTCTCCCTTGTCTCCTCTCTCCCTCTCGCTGTTTCTGTGCATTCTGCAAGGGATCTCTTTAATAAAATTAATGAGAGTCATCATACGTTATGGCGATGCAAGGAGCAGAAAAAAACACTTGAGGGCTGTATGACTTTGGGCCTGTAATGTGTGCCGTGGAAGTCAACTTCATCAGTATTTGGAGGAAACATTTTATCATAGTAAAGGGCATATTTTTTATGCCATATATTGGTTCTTGCATTTAAAAAATCAACATCAAAATTCAAGACTTTTGCATATATGTTATGTCTCTCTCTCTCTCTCTCTTTCTAGGTGTGAGTGGGCTGTATGACTTTGGGCCTACAGGGTGTGCCATGAAAGCCAACTTCATCAACATATGGAGGAATCACTTCATCATCGAGGAAGGCATGTTAGAGGTGGACAGTGCTATATTGGCTCCAGAGAATGTCTTCAAGTAAGTCTTTCTAACCAGTGAATATCTGTTCAAATTAAATATTTTGTCGATATATGTATGTTATGAAATTCATTTATATTCTTCACTCTCCAGCAAAATGGGGGAGGGAAACCCTTTTCTGTTGAGTAGGAAAAAGCAAATCACCATGGCTATCAACTAAGAATTTTATTTAGTTTTGATAATTCACTGGGTATTCGTCGGTGGGGTAACAAAACCTCGTATCTCAAATTTTTGAGATTTTGATTTTTTTGCATAATTTTGTACCTAATGGCCTACGACACCACCTGATAAATACATAGAACGCCTCCTGTCTCAGTTTTTTCACAAATTCCACACAAAGGGCGGTGTCACATCACTAAATCTATTGAGACAGGAAAGGTTTTTTCGCTCTCCTGAAAATTCATGATTTTTGAGATACAAGGTTTTGTTACCCCACCGACGTATTGTTACCTCTTTGCAATGGCATTCTCTTTTAGAATCTATTTGATATCGCATTTCATGTGAAATCATTAATCATACAAATAAGCTTCTCACACAAGGTTTTCTTCCATTTTCTAACCATCTTAAGGTTTATTTCAATACTTAAGTATTAGGGGGATGTTTCAGGAATATCAATTGATACGGGTACTAAACACGTAAGAATGCTTTTCTGGTTTAAAAAAAAAGGCTGTGAAGATGAATATTGCAAAGAATTAACCTGTCACTCCATCACTTTAATGGTACAAGATGTACATTATACTTACATATTCTGTTTTTTATCAGCTAGGGGAATTGTTTTATTTTACTGAATAAAGAAACATTGGAACTGATGGCAATTTCTCTTCAATCATTTCAGAGCATCGGGTCATGTTGAACGGTTTGCAGACTTCATGGTTAAAGATGGCAAGACTGGAGAATGCTTTCGAGCTGATCACCTCCTTCAATGTGAGTGGCGGTTTATTAGCAGTTTACACAGGGAGGTGATAGAGAAGGAGTGGAAACTCTTGTAATTTATTCAAACGAAATGCGTCAGTTCTAAAGTGTAACAATGTGATGCATAACATTTCACTTGGCTTTGAAGTTCCATGCTCTGAGCTGCTCTTCTACTGCGGGGAATTTCAGAGGCCAGGCACCAGTTTCACATTTATTAAATTACCAGCAAAATTTCAGTGTAAATTATGAAGTCACAAAGAATAGTTTGTAAACCATATATTTGAATTTATGTTTCTACTTTTTTTTTTTACATTTGACAGGGATTATTATACTTTTTTTTATTGTAGATTAAAAAAAAACTATTTTGTAAGTGTCTTTTCTCTACATCAAAAAAAGTATGCATCACTACTATTTAGAATTTAGGGGTATTTCGTTTATCATCAATCAATCAATTTTTATGAATCAAAATAATTAATAAAGGAGGAGGCGCGATAGCTCAGTGGTCTCGTAATTCTGCGACCCGGTTCTAAACCAAGTTGATGCACTAGCGCCCTTTGGTAAGGCATTAATCCTCATTACCAGGTCCTTCATAGAGGACCTTAAGCCGTCGGTCTTCTGGTTGCTTACTTACAAGCATTTATGCTTTCTTAGCAGTCAGGTGAAATAACCACCAACAATTTATAGAAAAGATACATTCTTTGAGTAAACAAGATATTGGCTTGTTTTCATTTATTACATTTTGGATAGCATACCTAGAGAAGTTAGGTGCTGCCAAGAAGGTGACCGAGGAGCTGAAGAAGGAATACCAGACAGTGATTTCTCATCTAGAGACCTACGGTAAAGATGAGTTAACGGAGCTGTTTAGGAAGTACCAGGTGAAATCACCGACCACAAACAACGATCTCTCGGATCCCATGGAGTTCAACCTCATGTTTGCCACTGCCATAGGTCCTGCTGGAAACATGCCAGGGTAAGGTGATATACATGTAGTTAATGGCTTGAACTGAGATGTGACCGGCATGATTGGCAACTACTCTCAAACTTCTTTAGTTGAAGAAACTTCCAAATTTTACAAGCAATCCAGATTTACTCCAGTTCACATCTCTCACATTTACATTTAGAATTCAGCCTTGTTTCAGACTGTAATGTATATCTGTAATGCAGTCAAATTTCAGTTTTATATATTTTCTAAATGATTTTTTTCTGCTTACTAGCTCAAGATGGAAATGGAATACATTCATAAACCCTCAGAGGTTAAAAACAAGATCTATACACTTAACAGGGAAGTCCAACCTCATATAAAGTCGGTTTTAATTGAAGCAGAAACATGAGACTGGAGAAACAAGTCAGTGAAAGTTTGAACAAAAACGATTGAAAATAAGAAAGTTATTAATTTTTGAAGGTGGGATCAATCAAACACAAATTGGCAACTCTGACATATCTTGCGAGCTCCCCCTCCATTTGCCCTGTACTAAAAATAACTTCAAAAATTTATATTTACCCTCAAGAAAAATTTCTATCATACATTCATCCTAAATACGATTATTTAAAATATTTTTTTTTGTACAAATTCCTGTATGAAACAAATCTATTCCATCATCAGTCACTAAGAAATTGAAAAATGTATGCGTTCTATTCCCTTTTTGGAATACTATTTATTATTGCAGTCTTATTGTTTGTTGGCTTAATATTGCAGATATCTAAGGCCGGAGACTGCTCAAGGTATCTTTGTGAACTTCAAGCGACTTCTGGAGTTCAACCAAGGTCGTTTACCCTTCGGTGCTGCTCAGATCGGCACTGCATTCCGTAATGAGATCTCCCCAAGGTCCGGCCTACTCCGAGTCAGGTGAGTTGATCGGTTAATTGATTGATTTTTATTCACCAAGCTTCCAACATGCAATATACAAGAATAACAGATCAAAATTAAGTCAGCTTTAACAGGATAACCCACGAAAGCTTGAGAACTTATTTCCAGTGGGGTCCCGACAAAATTAATAAGTTATAATAGTAATATTTACAGACAGATAAGAAAAAAAACTTATTAAAGATAATAATGATGATAATGATAATAACAACGTTAAACTGATGATAGAAATGATAATAAGTACAAGAAGAAAAAGAAGGAGAAAAAAAAGAGGAGGAGGAGGAGGAAGAAGAGGAAAATAATGATCAATATGTAGAATGTTGTTGTTTTTTTATGTTGAAGGTGACCAATTACCCATTTCATAGGTTCCATGCTGGAAACGTTTAAAAAGAAAAGAAAAAAAATCAGCTTTGACTTTTACATGTACCTTTGTATAGAAAAAAATGCTCTAGAAATGCTGGTGAAAGCAAATTGCGTGTAGGTTGACTAAGTGTTTATGTTATCCTTTCATTTCTTTATTCCTGAACCAATTTGCTGGTAGACTACCCTTTATTTAATTTTTTAAAACGTTTCATACAAAGTACATTTTTTTTGTAGGTGTCCAAAAAGCATTGTTGAATATTACCCAGTATTTTTTTTTTATTTAGTATATATTTGTGCAATGAAATGTCAACATTTGTTTCCTAATTTTCAGCTATTCTGCAATGTGTATCAAATTGGCAAAATCCAGAAATTCACACAGGAAAATCAAAATATGTTTTGCTGTATTAAACACTGCCATATCACTTGTGTGTGGTAATATACCTGTAATCTCATATCATATCATATGCATTTCATTTCAGAGAGTTTACCATGTGTGAAATTGAGCACTTCATCGACCCTTCCAACAAAGATCATCCTAAGTTTGATACCGTTGCCAACTTGGCCATCCCTCTGTTCCCTGTCGATCGGCAGGTTGGTGGGCTCTCTCCAATCACCATGACGATAGGGGAAGCAGTTGAAAAGGTAGGAAACAGACATCTTTACCTCAAACTGCTCTAGAGTGATTTCATGCCAAAAAATAGATATTTGACAATGTTTTCAAGTAGACCATTTACACAAATGATTAAAATGAAGACATGTTTTCAAGGGTTTGACAATTACTATCAGAGTGTCACATTTCCTTACAATCTTTTAAATGACATAAAATCCAGTGGATCACAAGGTACAGGATTTGACTACTTGCTATGTAGATTTGTCCATACTCGACCCAGGAATAGTTAAAGGGTGTGTAGCATGGCGAATACTGGTTAACGGCATATACAATTACTTTTTGGACAACTGCACGTAAACAATGGACTTGATTAAGGATCAGCGCGCGCTAGCGTCCGCGAAACAGACCAAAGTTCTCATGCTTTTGTTTCGCGTATGTTGCACGCACGTGAATACTGCAGTCGCTTCATCCGTAGTCGTATTATACCTGATTGGCCCTGTCTCTTCATGCTACACCCCTTTTAGTGAGTACCTGGTAGGAATGTATTCCCTTAAAGGGATCCGGTAACTTTGTCTCAGATTCTGAAACAAAATTCTGAATTTAGCTCATGATGCAATGATAATCATAAACCTTTAGGTCAGTCAGGAACCCCATGACTTTTACAAGCCGATCGCCTGTCTGATTATCAAGATATTTATGATTGGAATTACAAATTTTGAAAACCGTTCGCCTGACGGTTTTCATAACACTACAGTCTATTGGGGAAAACGAGTATGGTAAAACCGGTCACTCAAAGATTTTTACTTTTTTGAGGCACTTCTTGATCATTTTAAATCGCAATTTTTTTAGGGCTTCAATATTACACCATATCACAGACACTGATAACACGTAGGGCCGTGTATCTCAGATTTAACATTGTTAAACGATCCCTTTAATGGTTGCAGTGCCTTAGGGCAGCTTGGCTTAAGCCAGGGTAGTGGTGATACATGTACTTACATGTAGTAGTTGCCATGAACATTCCCCTTGGATGGTTACCTTGTGTGTGGGTAAGAAAATTATCTATTTTTTTTTGCTGGTGTTCTTAATGTGTGTTGATTGTGGTTGTTGCTGCTGTTGTTATTACAATCATCATTAGTATTAGTCTTTTTTCTTCTTCTGCTTTCCTCTAAATATGTCCTTCTCCTCCAACAATCTCTTTATCACAGGGCATGATCAAGAGTCGAGTCTTGGGTTACTTCATGGGTCGAACCTTCCTCTTCATGATCAAGGTCGGGATCGATCCTAAGAAGCTGAGATTCCGTCAGCACATGTTCAACGAGATGGCCCATTATGCTACCGATTGCTGGGATGCTGAGACCAAGACATCATATGTAAGTGAGCTCCCAAATTTGTTGTATTTAGGTATGAATTCTAAGGCATTTTTTACCCAAATATGTTCAGCAAATTACAAATGACAGAATGTGCTTTGCTATGCGACATAATTTATTATACAGTAGAGCGTATAGAGTTGGTGTTGTCTTGAATTACTGAAAAAGAATGCTGTAAAATGTATAAATAGAATGTTATAATTTTGTTGTAGACTAATTTAATAACACACAACATTTAAATTTCCTCACTTTCATATTCTGTCAATAATTCGTAACTCAATGGTTATCTCATCCTCTTCCCCATTGTATCTATCCTTTTTTATTCTCTCTGTCTCTCTGTCTCTGTCTGTCTGTCTGTATGTCTCTGTCTGTATCTCTCTCTCTCGCTCTCTCTCTGTCACTGTCTACCTCTGTCTCTCCCTCTGTCGGTCTATCTGTATGTCTCTGTCTCCTCCTTTTTCTCTCTTCCACCCCTTACTCTACTACCCCTGTTCTTCTTGTGTTTCCTCTGTACTGATCCAGGGCTGGGTGGAGTGTGTTGGTAATGCTGATAGATCCTGCTATGATCTCACGTGCCATGCAAAGCACAGCAAGGTGGCTATGGTGGCTGAGAAGAAACTGCCTGAACCCATATCCTTTGTGGCAACGAAGAAAAAAAAGCACATTTGTGAATACTTGTCAAATAGCATCAATGAATTAAAAATTACACATTGGTTTTAGACAGTTTAAATTTCGGGGCCAAAAACATCAGTTACAAGGAGCGTTCAATAAGGGGAGTAGGTATTTGGTAATTATGTTTAATGAATATTTCATCTTTCCTAAACCTGCTCCTTCATAGATGGGCTATGAACTTTTTGAACGCCTTTCGTATATAGTTTATGATTATGGTTGCAGGCAAAGTAACCACTCAGCTTCTAAACTAAATGTAAAAAACAGCCTTTGTATAACATACTTGAGCTTGGGTGTTGTTAGACCATTTTAAATTGGAGAGATTACACTTAGTTTGTCCCCGACGTCCGCACCCGGGTGACTTAAGCTCACGCATGCCAGCTATTCTCCACTCCTGACGATGGATAGTCAACCTGTTCGTAACGTCGAGCCACTCCCGCCACTCATCCTCTCCATGTGCTATAGTTCTCCTTAGAACTATAAGCTAAGAAAGATAACCAACAGTCTTTTTCAAGACTATACCAAACCATATCAACTATACCAAGTCCTTTTCAGGACTACAAACCCTCAAGAAAGATTACCGAGAGTCCTTTTCTGGACTCCTCAATCCTCCCTCTCTCTCACATGGTGCACCTGCAAGCCTACTGTATAATAATAATAATAATAATAATAATAATAATAATAATAATAATAATATTTTAAAGTCCACTCCAAATTTTATTAAGTTAAACCGAAAATGGAAATTCTTTTTTCCCAATTGATCGTGAGCCTGGCAGCCACTGAGCAGCGCCAGATCGACGTTGCTCTATCCCTTTATTGTTGAACGCCAAACAAGATAACAGCAACTCCCGTCTTCTAACGTCTTTTGGTATGACGTGGCCGGGGTTCGAACCCATTTGTATACAAGTAAAAAAAACAGGTCATCAGAATTTTTGAGGTTACAATTCTTTTTCCATTAAGCACACACATATTAACTGATATTTTTGCAAGTAGTGAAAGTGGGCTTATGAATATTTAAATTTGCACACTAGATATTTTAGAGGGGGGCGGGTGGTGTTGGAACCCTTTCAGGTGATGCCGTTTACATGAGGATGATAATTATCCCATGACTGGAAAGAGAGAAAGAATAGAATCCTTGACTGAAGATATCCACAAGACCATTGATATTACAGAGGCTGCTCCCGTGAAGAGTGTGATGGGGAAAGCATTCAAGAAAGATGCCAAGATTGTGGTGGAGCATCTGACTAGCTTGGAAGCTGACCGACTTGCAGACTTAGAGAAGGCACTGACTGACAACAGGTACAGAGCACAACTCCCAAGAACCATTGGGTTTTTAAATTTTGTTAGGATGTTAGAGGATTGCTTTACCTGATTACTATTAAAGAAAGCATGTGTATGTTTGTAAGTAAGGGACCAGGGGACCAACAGCTTCAAGTCCCTTCTAAGGGACTTGGTAATCAGGATTAAAGCCTTACCAAAGGGCATGAGGGCATTGTCTTGGTTTTAAACCCTGTCCCTTCCGATTATGAGAACACTGCTCTACCACTGAGCCATAGCACCCCTTCTGTTTTAGTAGGATTTCATTCAAAATTTTCAAGAGATGAAAGGGTTAATACACGAGCCACCCTGTTGTAGTCAATGGGTTAGTTGGCAAAACACTGTAAGTCAATTTATTGCTAGTGATAATTTTAATATTTTGTAGTCTTATTGAGTGGGGAATGAAACGCGAGGTGCCTTTATATTATGTTGCCCATGTTTTTGTTTCAGTGAAGCTACCGTGGAGGTGAATGGAAAGAGCTTTAAATTGACTCCAGACATGCTGAAGATCAATAGATATCAGAAGACTGTTCATGGTAAGAAACTAAATAATATGGTGAGGTGCTGTGAGGCGATGTTTGAAACTTGTGAATGCCTTGTCCAGTGGATGACTGGTGTTGAAATATTTTCCTAAAAGTTGTGAAGATGTGTAAATGAGGGGGAGAAATTCAGCTTTTTTTAAAGCATTGTGAGCTCACTACCTTGCCCACCTTGATATGAAATAAGTTCTTTAATTTTGTTGATTTCAATCTTTATCCATTTGAAAGTCTTATTTTGGGAGATGATGCCATATGAATAGACAGTTGTAATCATGAAAAAAAGAGAATTTAAAAGAGCTAGAGGTTGCTGCCTTCTTTACAGTGCAGTTTTAGATCCGTAGTACAGTGTACTTGTTCTTGAGTTTTATGATATCGATGAATGTTACTTACCACATCATTCTCATATGATAAAAAACAACACTTATATTCAATTTAATTTCATTTAATTAATATTATCTCATACATGTCTCGTTAAACTATTTATCATAGCTGTAATACTGAATGTTTTGTTTCTCCGATCCCAATGATATATTTTTTGTCAAAATCCACCCAGAAATAGGCTAGTTATGATACTCTTTATGACTTCATATTCATTTTTAGTATCGATTTCATTTGCATTTGCATTTGGCAAATCAATTGTCCTGGGCGTTGTATGCTTTATATTGATATACATGTATCTCTGAATAAATCAGATCTATATTTACCATTCTGTCTATTTTGATTATGAAATAAATGCTGATTGATCCGTTCTTTTTCAACAGTGGAGGAGTTCACCCCCAGCGTGATAGAACCATCCTTCGGAGTGGGTCGTATCCTGTACTCAATCCTTGAACACAACTTCAAAGTGAGAGAGAATGATGAACAGAGAACGGTAAGTAGACTCAGATAGACCAGGGTGGGGCCGAAGTCAGACTTAACTCTAGGTTGGACTTAAAAATTATGGAGAGCCATTTAAAATAAAATATATTCAAAAGCGAAATTTCAAGTATTTTAGACATTTTATAAATTCCATATCAAGAACATGAAATCTCCTTGATAATAGAAATATGAATGATTTGAATCAACATTCTATGCATTTTAAAATAACTTTTACAAAATATTTTCATAGATGCCAATGGCTTTCCATAAATTTTAAGTCCAACTTTGATAAGTTCAACTTAGGATCTTTGTGAAACACACCCCTCCCCCCCCCCCCCCAGCATGGCGTGCTTTTATATCTCTGTAAAGGGAGATGGTAGTCAGTTTCCATGTGCAGAGCGTCATAATTCACTTGGTGGAAATACAGTGATACCTGTCTATAAAAACCACCGAAGGAAGGCAAGAAAAGTGGTCTTTATAGGCCGGTGGTCTTTATGTTTGGGCTCCTTTAGTACTTGTTTCAATGAGAAACCATTTTCAAGGGAAACAAAAAATGTGGCCTGTGTAGACAGGTGGTCTTTCTATACAGGTCGTCGTTAAAACAGGTTTGACTGTACCCTTAATGGGTTTACAAGTCTCACACACACCAAACCCATGGTCCCATCAAAAATTACCCCTATTCTCTTTGGGAGTCTTCGGGTGAGGGAAACGTAAGATAATGACCTTATCACATGGGGCAATTGGTGGAATATGCAGAGCATTACATAAGGCCTGTTGGTCGTAAAACTAAAGGCTAATTCTGATGATTGACAAACACCTGTTAATCAGGTGTTGAATCCCCCATGAGGACCCACTACAACACTCTTTAACACATAGGTTGCTTTCTTCGCTTTCTGAAATGTTGCACAAAAGAAAAGCCACTGATTGACGGATGGATTTGTGCAACACAATGGCTTTTCAAAATTGATAACATGATAACAGTGTTAGCACAGGTATAAAATAATAAGTATCTTGCACTGGAAACTGTTCAATAATTCTGAAGCCTTTGGTACATGTATGTCTACCCAGTAATAAATACAATGGGGCACAGGGAGATTATGTGTGTGTCATTTAAAAAGGTTAAACAGTTCAAATTCAGTGATAAATGCTACTGCATTCGATAAGCTGTGAGCAACTTTGCTATATGATTATTACAGTCGTTATTGGTATTGAATTTTATGACTCTACTGGTTTTAAATTTAGGGTTAGAGTCACATTATAGTGTTGGGTCCACGGTCGAAGTTACAACCTTAACTACAGGGGTTTAAATTAGTGACCGTTGCAGGAGCATGTGATTTACAACAGTATTCCTTTGTTCAGAAATCAATAACTTCATTTTTGAAGCCCCACTGCACTTCGTATAGCTACTTGCGCCCTCTATATAGCATGCCTAATGGTGCCTGTTGGTCCCCCATGATCCCCTTTTTTTAATGTTAATCAAGGGCTGATTTGATGAGATAACCACCTGTCTGTGACCCTTCAGGGAGGTCTAATCCCCTGGCCAAACTAGTACAGACAGGCTTTAATAGAGGATTTATACAATTTATTTTTGTTTGTTTTTCTGCCATGACAGTATTTCACTCTGCCTCCAATCATCGCCCCATACAAGTGCTGTGTACTGCCTCTCAGCTCCAACAAAGACTTTGAGCCTCTGGTAAAAACACTAGGTAAGTCTTTTAACAAAGACTAAGATCGACTTTAATTTGGACTTAACTATGACAGGCCTTTGATGTCACTGCTTGCTCTCACCATTGGTCTCTCAATTATGATCTTTAGATATTATTTTTTCCTTCAATAATGAACTATCAAAAAATGTAAATTCTGTAGATTTTTGACCATGATTTGTAAGTCCCTTGATAAACCAATGCCAGTCAATGGTGAGAGTAAAACGTGGCATGAATGGCCTGCCATAGTTAAGTCTAACTTAAAGTTGATCTTAGTCTTTGTGAAACATTCCCCATGTCTGTTACAGACATCGGCAGTCATGGCCCTCCATTTCTGTCTATCATCTACTCTTCTTTAAAATCTGGTATGTTGCTGATTTCATTTTTGGTTGCCCTTTTGTTCAGGCTCTGCAAATATGTGAGGCGTTACCTTCCCCTGCCTATATGTACAGGTGTACTATTTTGATCGTACGTCTCAAATTAGCCATTGACATGTGACCAAGTTTTTCGTGTCACCATTTTTGGTTTAGCTTACAGTATAATTGAGCTACCAAAGATTGTTACTAATTCCAAAGCAAATGTTCCAAGTTTTGGTCAATGTCTAAAGCATCATGATAATATTTGCTCTCTCTCTCTCTTTTCTACTCTTTAATATTTATATAATATTGGATGGCTTTGAGTGTGATACAATAATTTATTGCTCGAGCTATGACAATATTGGACGAGTCAAAGAGGATTCTAATATTGTCATAGCGAGAGCAATATATTCTTGTATCACACAAAAACAAAGCCACACAATATTATTATCTATATTAGTCTAACTAGCGAAATAACAAAATTTGACTTATCTCAGTAAATATTGCCTTGTTTTCGTGTGATATCGCCATGATATCGATATCAATAGTTGAAGTTCCCAGATGACTGAAAAATACAAAAATAATATTGGTCAGTCATCTGGGTACTGCGCTAAAGATATTGAATACACTGATTTATGATACCACTTGGAAGCCTTATATAGATAATAATCTTTGATACTCTTTGATATTATCCTCAGCCCAAGCGCTCTCCAATGCCAGTATATCACACAAGGTGGACAGCAGCTCTGGGTCGATAGGTCGTCGCTATGCCAGGACAGACGAGATCTCTGTGCCGTTCTGCATTACGGTGGACTTTGATTCGCTGAAGGAACCACACACCGTCACCCTGAGAGACAGGGACACCTTCGAGCAAGTCAGGACTCTGGTATGTACTCTATCCTTTCATATCCATGATTGTAGTAGAAGGTTCGTTTATTTAAAGCCTGTCTGCACTATTTGTAGCTACTTGCGCCCTCTATATAGCAAACAAAGCCTTAGCAGTACCTGTTGGTCTCCCATGATCCCCTTTTCCTTATGTTATTAAATTGAGAGCTGATGTGATGAGATAACCACCTGTCGGTGACCACCCAGGAAGCTCTAATTTCTCCTGGCCAAACAAGTGCAGACAGACTTTAAAGGGGGGGGGGCGGAATCAAAAAATTGGAAGCTCTTATTACCAATCATGTGAAAGAATATGTTTTGACTAATACGTGATGATACAAATTTTGCTGGGAAATCGCCTACTAATTGATATATTTGGTACATTATCATATCTATCCGGCCTGGATAGATATCGCTTAGTCCCATACATCTTTCTGTGAAGAAAGATAATCACTTTTTAGGTGATAATTGACATTGAATAAATAATGTTATGAGATTTTTTTCATTGAGGGGTGCCTATACGTTTTCTTGTATTGTTAAAAATAGGCCACATATTGTGGTTTTAAGATTTTGGTCACAAAGGTGTCCCCCCCCCCCATCCCCCCCCCCCCCCCCCACTGGCTGTAGAGTGACAATAGAGTATTGGAGTACATGTGTATATTAGCTTTAATAGAGGGCATCTGTTCTGGAGTTGCGCAAGGCATCACAGTTTTCTCTTTTGGTAGAATTTCCAGTATTGCTAGATGAAGCTAGTAACTGTTAATAAACAAGCTAATAAATTATACAATCATTTAGTAAATGATATAATCCTGCTATTTATTTCTTTTGACAGGTATCCGATGTAGCTGACATCATCCGAGACCTCTCCAGTGACAAGATCAGGTGGTCTGACGTCCTTGCCAAGTATCCAAAGTTTGAAGGTCAACAAGAGAAAGATCAATGATGATCACCCCATCCAACCTTACTTTTTATTTTGTCCATTAAACCTGTTAACTAACATATTCAAATTTATCGAAAATAATATCGCTAGTGACATTCATTTGTCTCGCAATGTATGGTCAACAAGGGATCTAAAAAATCATGATGTTTCATGCGCCACTGCAACACTTTGTCAGGTGATGAAATATATTGTAAGCAAATATTCAAATTTATTGATATTTCTTTCCTTGGGACCTAGTGACAAATCATTCCATTAACCTGTTATTAATGAATGAACTACAATACTTTGAATCCAGTCTGCATTCATTTTAAGTTGCTATGTCGGGCAAGCCTCAGGCAAACTTTGAGGCTGTCAGGAACAACCTTTGTTTGAAAAAGTATGCATAAAATTTGAATATGCTAGTAGACTGGTCTATTACCCAGTAGCATCTTAAGAATATGTTCACTGTAATTATTTTCTCATGCAAAGACATTTTTAATTGCATTCTACTCCGTATCGTTTTAGAAAGACTGAAATATTGAATTGTCTACAGTAATATGCCATTTCCGATACAAAGTCAACCAGGGAGGAGAATCCTGGGACCCGTTTCACATAACTTGTCATCAGTGACAAATGACAGTATTTGTTATAAGCTATTAAATCCTTGCTTCTGACTGGTTATCAGCTGATTTGTCACTAATATTTGTCATTTGTCATTGAAAAGAAGCTTTGTTAAACAGGTCCCTGTAGATATAAGTGCATGAGGTTAATATGTAAGATCTTGTACTTAAAGGTAAAGACCAGTTATGGTCATGCGATTGCATTGTGAAAGAAACGTTGTGGAATCGATCAGAAAAGGTTGATCATCTAGCATCTAGCATCTGCAAGGTTCTGGAATCATCAAAATGATAAGAAATTTGGCCCATTCTTCGTAAAGTTACAAGCACTATACACAGAAAGATGTATATGGGACTACCCTATATCTCTCACAGACCATGAGAGAAACAAATTTACCAAATATATGAATTAGTAGGCGGTTTCCCGGCAAATTTTGTATCATCATGTATTAGTAAAAACATATTCTTTCCCATGATTGGTAATGAGAGCTTCCATTTCATTTTTTGAAATTGGGGCATTTCCAATACTGGTCTTTACCTTTAACCCAATGCCAGTAGGGAAGTGGTTGGTTCCTGTATTAGGCCTATCAGAATAGGAGAATTTCAGTAGTCAATGGGTTTAAGTGATACAGCATGTGAAAGAAGACAGGAAGACAGGAAGACTTTGGACAATTCAGAGAGTAGATCAAAGTACATGAGGTATCATGTAAGACCTCTTACTTATCCCAATGCCAGTTGGGAACTGTTGGTCTCTGTATTAGGCCTATGGGAATGGGGGAATTTTAGTAGTCAATGGTTTAAACTGATACAGCATTCAAAAGAACACAGGAGTACAGGAAGACAGGAAGGCTTTGGACAATTCAGAGAGTAGATTGAAGTGCATGAGGTATCATGTAAGATCTTGTAATTATCCCAATGCCAACAGGGAACCGGTTGGTTTCTGTATTAAGACTATGGGAATGGGAGAAAACCATTCCAAGAGGGGAACAAATCTGTATTTTCGTCTTTACTCTGTTTGGAACAATGCATCCTTTCAGCTTCATGTAGGTGGCCTAGCTTTTCCTAGAAAGAAAGGCTATTAGATATTGTAGCCTGTGATCATAATGTAACCATGTTCTCATTTTAACATTTTAAAAGAAATTCTGAATATATGCACCTGACTTATAACCATGTGGCTTGCACTATGGTACATCGTTCATCATTATCTTCTGTTAAAATGTACATGCAAGGGCTAGTTGGCGGCTATGTTAAAGGGGAAGTCTACCCTGATATTAAGTTGGTTTTTATAGAAGCAGACAAATGAGAAAACTCATGTATGAAGCAAATTCATTTCCTCATCAATAAAGACAATCAAAGTTTATGACATTTTTTCTAAAGAGCAAATTGGAGAGGAGCTTGCAAGATACGTCACAGAGTTGCCAATTTGTGTTAGATTGATCTTTACTTCAAAAATTAATATCCTTCTTATTTGTAATTATATTCTGCTCAAACTTTCACTGACCCGCGTCTTGAATTTGTCTGCTTAAATGATGCCAACTTAATATCAGGTTGGACTTCCCCTTTAACAATGGATATGAATAATATGCAACGATGGTTGATTTTGTACGTGTCCGTACAACATACAGTCTATCTATAAACTATGCCTTTCTTTCCATCTATTTCATCCCTTTCTAGATATACATGTAACCATCGAGAGGTTTTCATTAATTGGATATATTAAATGGAGAGAAAAATCCTATATCGTACAGGACATGTTGCACGGAATTGCCCCAATGACGATTATGAAATCAAAGAAATATTTTATTTATACAGACAGCATGTGGATATGTAGACTAATGTTAAAGCAAACATTTATGTTGAAATAATTAACTAACTAGTGTACATGCAACAGTTATTCTAAGGTTGAATCTTAATGATGGAACACTTCTGAAAAAAGAAAAAAAATTCTGCAAATAAATGCTCATCTGCATGTACATGTACAAGTTTGGGGCTGTACATGTCTTTTTTGGTCACATGCGATTCCCCAAACTGCTTTTCATCCAAATTGTATATTTACATTTTTATTTGCTCATTGGAGAGATTTATACTTCACAAAGGGGATTTGAATTCAACTTATGGTCAAAACCACTGCATGTTTCAACCCCCCCCCCCCCCCCATTCAGGAGACCCCATATGTACAATGTACATGTTATCTTTATGGAGGTGAAACCATGTCTTAGATAATTTCCTTTGTGAATTCCAGCTCTTGTAATCATGAATAAAATAGTGTCTTTATTAAAGTAAAACTTGATCATTGTTTTGTTTTCAATTTATTATTGTGAAGTTTCTGATCCTCCCTGCTGTTTCAGTTTTAGTAAGATTGCATACAAGTACATTGGGCAAGTCCATGGCATTCTATCTCGCACATTACCAATGTTATCAGTGACTTAGAATACATGTACCTGGGCCCCTAAACACAAAGGTTTGCAATCTATTGCTAAATGGTAATGGCCAATAAAGATCATCATTGCATGCACACATTGTTAACAAGGCTGACTATTAACCAATCAGTCATTATTTCAAATGTGCAACTGACCACAAACCTGTGTTATGTGGCGAAGGGATCAGATAAAATGTTAACGAACGATTCCTTCAATGAAAACCTTATTGTATACCCGTACTTGGTAACATATAGGGCACAGAATAATCAAATACTGTGGACTTCCCCACAACCTACACTCATCTTCTTTCTCTATTTTGTTGCTACTCTCCAACTCAACTTTGGCTTGTTTAATCTTAACATTTCATCTTTCTCTCTCTCTCTCTTCATTATATCCATCTCTATTTTTTGTCATGCTTTCTCTCTCCAGCTCTTCTAATGCCTCTCTCTCTCTCTCTCTCTCTCGCTCTACCATGCCTCTACTCTCTCTCTCTCCCTATACTCCCTCTCTGTGTGACTCCACCCACTTCTCCTTGTCTGTTTTACAGTGTACATCTCCTAGCTCGCCTCTTTCCCTCACTGCCCTTCTCCCCTCTCACCCCCATCTTCCTAAATGTATCTATTCAAATATACCCCTCTGCGAGAGCTCTTCCTAATCTATCAAGGCTCTAAAACAAGTACCTCACATTATAATTATAACGAAAATATAATTACTTTCATCACAATAAACTTGATTTTAATAACGATCTCTCAATGTACCACAAGTACAAAATACTCTATTCTGGAGATATTTACATTGTACAGGCTTTACAGTGTATATACAAATGTACACACTTTTCATCTCATAATCTTTTTCTTTAAAAAAATCCTTTGCATCAATATGTGCATGTATATACAAGTGTGCTATCAAGATCCAAAAGCCAAGTGACCTATTTTATAGAAAATACCCACTAACAAATAAAGCAAGGTTGCGATCCTAATGGATAATCAACTTGCTGTACTTTTTAGAAGGGCAATCCAAAGTAAGTTATTTGTCACAACATCACAATCCAATGACAACATTGAGATTTGCTTACCGGTAGCTGTAGTGATCTCAAATTTCAAACATTCGTAACATTCTTATTGTTGGCACGATTTATTACAAACTTTAGCCACTCAGTTTCTCAGATTTTTCTGCTTTCATTCCAATGAACTCATTACAACGGTCGGATTGCCCTACAAGTAACCGTTTTCTTTGTTACTACTCTGGTGCATTAATTATCTATACTGTGCAATGGAAAGTTTTTCTAATAATAATATTTACATTAAGCTACAATTACAATCGATGTAACACGATGGATCTTCCTGAATGAGACAGAAAGAACACGTACTGTACTGGTTTCCACAATGCCTGCATTTAAAGTGGAAGAGGTACATATAATGGTATCACAAAGAATCCCACTTTGAAACGAAGTAAATTATTGAAGAGTGCTGAACAATGTAAAAGAGAGCCACATGTATCAAATTTTTAAATGCTCCATAAAAAAAAACATGTAGAGTGAAGTATACAAAAACAGTTGTAAAAGCTTCAAAGCAATAACAGTAATCCTCTCAATCAAGTATAAAAAAGTAACTACAGACTTCAAAGACTTCACCTTTTAATACATAAAATGTAGAAGGTGACTATATAGAACTTATCTCATTTCACCCAAAAAGCAGCAGGAATTGTGAATTCTTGTGAATAACTGCCACATAAAATCTTATGTTCACTCTTCATTTACAAATAAACGTTCCTGTATGTCAGATAAATCTTCAACGATCTTGCGCCAACTACTTCCATCTGTGAGTGTCATCAATGTGTACAGTTGGTGTGGGAAGACGAACAGTATTGCATCCAGAATATCATAATAGTAGACGACACACTTAGTGACAAAGAAGTTGAAAAAAACAACCAAAAACATCACAATACAGATATTGTGATGGGTAAGTCCTTCTAAACAATCCCTCATTCAAATATGGCAGGTTGCCATCTACTGTGCCTCATATTTGTTAAAGAATATTTGTTGAGATTAGTTTGTATTTCAGTATGTAAATCAGAACACTGTCAAATATTTGTGTATGCTACAAGAAGAATAAACCATCACAAAAATCTAAATCACAATGATTTGTAGCATTGAAAAACAAGGAGGTAGAAAAACATGAAGTACTGAACTAAACATCATCATGAAAACATTCCTGAAAAGACAAATATTCATACAAAAACCAGATATTCCCAACGGTCAAGACAGAGCCAGCTATGAAATTAGTGACAAACTATTATATGTACATCCAGCTCCACCTGCAGTTACATTATACAGTGAAACCTGTATATAAAGACCACTCAAGGGAGACAACAAAAGTGGTCTTATGGGCAGGTGGTCTTTACGTACAGGTTCCTTTTTAACATGTTTCAATGGGGAAACACATTACAAGGGAAACAAAAGTGCAGTCTGTATAGAGAGGTGGTCTTTCTATACAGGTGGTCGCTATAAAGCAGGTTTGACTGTATTAATATAGAAACATAAGTTAAGTTTTACTGCATCACAGGTACAGTTTGTAAATGCGGTAAATGTGGTACCACATACACCAGTGCATTCAGGCAAATTTTGTTGAGATGTCTAAAAGTAAATGCGAAGCTCTCTGGACAATACTTCTGACATTATTTGATTTGAATTGATTCTTATTACCTTTCACTAGAAAAAAAATGCTCATGATACATGTAGGAAAATGTAAATACATACCACAGGAGAATGGAAGAAAAAAGAAGATAAACATTACTTCTAAATTTAAATGAAAACTGAACTACCGGTACATCAAAACAGTAACATTTTTCAAGACTATGGGATATAAAAATAAGTACAAATGAAAAGGAAAAAAAAGTACATGTTTGCCTGATTTACTGCTTATCCACATGATAGCAGGCAAGTACCTAAAAAAGATCTTTGGACGTGACTTATTCATGTATATCATACAATGTAAAGCTGACAGTTCTTTATACAAGCAGCTGATAACCTTAAACCACAATTTTAGTGTTGGTAAGAGGTAGCGAAATATGAATTACTGAAAAAATTGTTGGAAATGGTCTTTCATAATTCCATGTGTATCATATGATTAATTTTTGAGATGTTTTGATATTCTGCCACGATTATTGACAAATTTGCCCGTAAATATCAGAAATAAATTTCAAATCAAATTAAATCGCCACATAGCATTCCCATCCCACAGTGACTTGTGCACTCGTTAACACAACAGCCTAGTGCTGATTCAACAAAGACTTGTCATACATGCTAATTCACATCATGGCCTGCACTTCAAATTTCAAGCTCAGTAAATAAGAAAACTTAAAATTAAAGGACTGAGTACTATATAGATAGGGATCAGTTTAAATAATCAAAAAATTCAATTGAAGTGTTTGAATACTATTTTTTTACAAGAAACTTATTTTGAATATCTGAAACAGAAAATGAATGTCATATTAAATATCAGTCAAGGTACCTTGTTCTATTTGAATAGTTGGTGTAAAAAATTACATTAAAAAAGTTTGAAAATGACATCAGGTCCATGGTAGACAATCTTCATTCTACAGAAAATACAAATAAATTAAGACAGCTTGATATATTTCCAAAGCTTATTTGGTCAACAAAATGAGTACTAAAGATTGATAAAATGAATACTGCAATTGTAAGAGAACATGCAATCTAAGCACACTACACGATCCAACTGCGATCGGATTCTGGAAGAAATGCAATTATTTGTTATAGAGATCTGAACAAAGAACATTTTGCTGCTTTAGATTGTAAATAATGATAATACCAACAACACGAATTTTAGTGCAATAAGGCCTTCCAGTCGAATTGGATTCAAAATCGTAGACAACTGTACTCCTGGTCTCACATCACTATGATTCTGAGCCGATCTAGCTTTTCCTTCTTCAAGAAAGCTTGAAATCCCCTAAAATTTAGATTTTATTAATTACATGATTAAAAAGATCCTCAACCATCAACATTTTACATATTTAAATGCTCATTTAAAATGCTGTTGTAAATTCTTCCAAAATTAAATCACAATTAGATTGTGTAGTGTGCGCTGGGCCTAACACACACACTCATAATTGCTTCAAATGAACACTGACACTACATATTCCAGGTTTCACGAAGCCTTTTTTCAATGACAAATGACAAAAAAATCAGTGACAAATCTGCTGATAACCAATCAGAAGCAAGGATATCAGCAGCTTTTAACAAAAACTGTCATTTGTCACTGATGACAAATTTTGTGAAACGCCCCCCAGCAAGTGTAAAAAGAAAGATTGTACAGTCACTACAAATAGTACCCTGGTGGCATATCAAAGATTGAATCAATGTCTGGACTACTAGCCTGCACCTTCACACTTCTCTTTCCTTTCCTTCCGCTGTCATGTTCAACTTCCTTCACATTCTTCACCTTGCCTTTAAGGTTAGGACTCGAGAGGCTACGGGACCTTAGCTTGCGTTTCTTGCGAGTCGATGGTGGAGTCTGAGTGCACTGATCATTGCGTTCTTTTTTCTCGGAGTCGGTGTTGATGGGACTAAGGACAAGGTCCTCATCGTCCACGCTGTCATCGTCGTGAAACTCGTAGATGCGGAGCTCGGCATCTGAAGGGAGGCAGAGGTTGAGAGCAAGGAGAGACCTGGACATCTTGGAGCGGCAATGGTGGTGGCGCCCCACCGCGGAAGGCTGAAGGATGCGCAACGAGAAGTGCGGCTTCTTGAAGGTGTAGAACGTTGGCGAGAGACCAGCTCTGAGCTCATTGAGGAAGGTCAAGAATTGGGAGGATTTTGAGGGAGGCGACGACGCTGATTTAGATCGCTTCCGAGGGGACGAGAAGTTGATGCGCTTCACGCGTCCTTTCATGAACAACGACTTCCTGGATGAAGGTGGAAAGGCGAACGAGATGAGGTCACGTCGGTTGCTCGGGCGAAGAGGGGAGGACTGGACATCGCGATGACCTAAGCAAGGTACAGAGCGATGCCTAGACCTAAACTGCTTCTGCTTTACTCTGTGCTTCACAGGGGAAAATATGGATCCCTTCTGAGCAGGGCTTGAAAATTTGGGGAAGATGACTTCAGACTCAGAATCATCATGCACGTAATTGTTTGAAATTTCATCTTGCTCCTCGACAGGAGTTCCAGCTGGCAACACAATATGCTTCACGCTTGGACTCTGTTGGGTGTTCATCAAGTTCCTTTTGATGCGTTTTGGAGTACTAAAATGTATGGTCTCTGCATTTTTTTGTGGAGAATTCCTCAGTTGGTTAGGCGACAACTCTCGCAAAGCATTTGGTGCATTTGTTTCTGCAGGCTTATCCCCTGAAGCAATTCCCTTCTTTGACAGAGAAACATTTCTTTTCTTCTTAGATGCAATAGATGGGGACACACACAGTCCAGAGTATGAAAGGCTCTCTGCTGACCGAGAATTGGAAGAATCATGAATCCTCGCACTTCGCCGTCTAGTATTTGATTTTTTGTCTTTTTCATGGTTTTCAACATTTTCATTGGCTTCCTGGAAGACTTGCGCATCATCATCATCATCCGATAAATTCTCTGGTCCAAAGTCTTCCACTACTCCTGGCAAGAGTTTTTGATTCTCCTTCTCAAAGCCAAAGCCAGTCTTCTGGAAGTACGGTGATGGTAGCGTACTAAGCTCGGATTCTCGTCTCCTCTTAACTTCTAGTTGCGTATCCAGTCTCTTCATGAACCCGGTGACCTGCTCTTCCCATTCTGAACCCTCGGAAGGGAAGTTGTCCACCCTCTGCAGCACCAGGCCGATGGTGAAGTCATTGCTTCCAGTGGAGCTTCTGTCATCATCAGGACAAGGATCAGAGGATGGGATGCAGTACACGCTGAGGGCAGCCTTATCCAAGTTCTGCTGCTGGAAGACTTCACTGCGATTGGCTGTTTCATTGATATCATCCTGAGAGAAGCCTAGGAAACTGGACTCCTCTGCTCCCAGATCGCTTCTGAAGACCAACTCTAAGGACTGCTCAGCTTGACTGTTCACATTCCCATTTCTCTGTAAATCTCCTTGAGGATTTGTCTCACCATTTGTAGGTAGTACCCTTTCTTCAGGGCATTTCTGGTTTTTGCTTTTATTGGCAACATTTTCTCCAGTTTCTTCTTGGGAGTTACCTGAGGGCAAGACAGAACATGTAGCTTCTCCTAAATTGGTAACTTCAACATTGGTAGGTTCTTTACCGTTTTCACATGCTTTTGGCTTTGTTTTGGAGACAGTGTCTTTGCCCTTCTTTGCACTGCTTGACGTGTTCTTTTTACTTTTGCTATTGCTATTGCTTGGGTGGGATGTTTGAAAGTCTGTTTCAGAGTTATTGCTTTCAGCTGTGGATAATTGACTAGTACTGGCTTGATTTCTCATGGATTTTTTCTGTGTGGGCCCTCTTGTCACACTTTCTGGACTTGCACTCGCAAGATCTCTGTTTCCCCTTGCCCTCTTATTCTTTCTCCCTGAGCTTTTGACACTTCCTGAAGCTGGAGTGTTCACCTGCTGGAAGTCATCACTAGAATGTTGATCACCACCGTGAGTAGCAGGAACCCTTGGCTGGGCTTCCCTGATGCACGGACTACCAGCGGTATCCACATGATCCTCTACTGACTGTCCATTTTTACCGTCTGCTCGCACACTCCTTCCTCTTACTTTCTGAGGGGGAGCATCTGCGTGACTCCTACGAGATTTCCTCTTCTGTCTTTCAGAGTTTCTGGCTTCTCCCATCCCAGATCTTGCTTTTGTAAGCAACTGATCGTCAACATGGGATGCTGTTGGATTGCTTGTGAACACATCATCCGAGTCTGCCTCTCCAGCACTTAATCTTTTCCTCTTGTTTGTCCTCGACTGCTTTGCAGATCCTGGACTGGTGATCACCTGGGAACCCTGTTTGGCACTTCTTCTATCAGGTGTCCCAACTGAAGACACAATATCTTCTACTGTCCTGTGAACATTTCCATTTACACTTTCACCATTAGCCACTTCAAGAAGATCAGGCTGTATGGATTGCGGTTGGATATCTTCTCCTACCGTTCCAATTCCTTCCACCCTCACCTCTTGAACCTCTTGTAGAGTGTCCTCTCTTCTTATCCTCATGATTACAACCTCCTCCCCTTCTTGCCTAATGGGTTCCTCTTCACCCGCAATACCCCTAAGAACTGTACAAGCTTCTTGAGCCTCTTGGACAACTCCATCCCCTACAGGAGGTGCACTCTGTGGTGCCACTGGTAAAGTTCTATTTTCCCTGAGCTGGAGTGAAAGACTTCTTCTTCCGCCACTCCTCCTCTTCTTGCCCTTTCCCCTTCTACCGTCAGACACTCCAGGACTGCTGAACTTGGATGCACCTGCGGAAATCTCTGGAGAGTTAAGATCTTTCATGACATCACCATCCCCACCACTTAGTCTATCCTCTAACCCAGAGTTCCTGTTCTCTCCTGGACGTACTACATCATCTACTCCTGCAACATCGCCACCTCCTTCCACAGGAGCCTCGTCTGCAGGGTGATCCAAGATTCTCTGTTTACAGGCATCTTGCAGGAATGTCTTTTCTTTAACACCGTTATTGCTTACAACTCTCTCGAGATCTTCCTCTAGGTTCCTCTGTCCGGGATCATCTCCATGGATTGGTCTTTCTGCAGAAGTTCCATTGCCTAAGCTCTTCCTTGGACTCCTGCCGAGGCTCCTCCTTCTACTTGAACCCGACGGATCCTTCTTCCTCTTGGCTTTCTTGGTGTCCTTTCGCTTGGCCTTTGTAGGTGTCTTTGGTTCTGTTAGAAGCAGTACCTCATCCTCAGTGCCAGAGTCCTCAGCACTGTAGAAAATGGAATCACACAAATAATATTTAATAGACAAGACATTTCAATTTTAAAAAGAACTAAAGATTCAAAAGAAGTTAAATAGCTAAACCCCATCAATCTTTTTTCAATAAATATCCAGCACGCTTTCACTCTTAAGACAAAGGATTTTGTTTTTAAATCAACTAATATATAGTGACTGAAACATATTGAATATCTAAATTTGTTCTAAAGGTATTCTCAACCTGAAACTGTGTACAAAAAAAATACTGAATTACCACACAGAAAACTCCCTCTATACCCTTGCACAATCGTATATCTGACAACTATACCCATGCAGCAGAAGTATCCAACTTACAATAAACAAAGGGGGTGAACAATTTATGGGTTAAATGCATGGGCAAATCGTACATAGTACGATTTTCCTGGAATCTATAATTTGACATTTCTAACACAAAATAATGCAATTTTGTTAGCTTCTGGGGGAGCTTCAACCGGACCAAAGATCAATACTGTCCATCTTAAGCCTTGATCAGATTTGCCTTGGTAAAATACAGTAGCTTATTTATCTTTTTTAAATGACCAAGGTGTAAGAAGCTTCATATTTTGGTTTCTTATGATATATATCATTTTAAATCTATAAGTATTCAACAAAGGCCCTGATTCAACCAGTCCACCTTTCCTTCTGACATTTAAATGAGGTATGAATAATTTAGTTCTAAACTGTATATATCTTTATACTTACTCATCATCTGGTGTGCTGGACTGAGAGTCTACATTCTGAAACCTGACACAGTCTTCCAGGAATCTCACTATGTTAGGTCCCTGTGCAATCATGGTGTCCAAGCTAGTGTAGTTGTTCTTCTCACCAACAAACTTCTTATGTTGCTCAGTTTCAAGATGCTAAAGACACAAGGAAATGGGATAAAAACTTTTACTTTGACTTGGGTGGAAACGTCAATGTGTCATGCACTTGACTTGTGGTAACTTAAAACCATTGAATAATAATAATTATAATTGCTTATATAGCACCTAACACTCACTTTATCAGAAGTCTCTAAGCACTCTACAATAATGCAGCATAATTACCCTGGCTTTAGCAGTGCAGCTGTTACACGCGCTGCGTTTCAAGGAATATATTCCTACCAGGTCCCCATTTACTTCACCTGGGTGGAGTTTGGCAAGTGTAATTCTTTATGGCCAAAGTATCACATATTTTACAACTACTGATGAGTTTTTGTAATGTGGGCGATCTCTACTTTCAAAGATGCATTATTTCCTGACTATTTGTCCAATTTATCCTTCTGATTTTCTGCCTCCACTCGGGCAAAATTTATGTAAAGGATTAATTCCACTTTAAACCAGACTTTGTCTATCACATTTTTGTTCTTACTCTTAGCTCAACTACCTTTGAATAAACTGGCAAAGCCAATAACATATTTCAAATTAATACAAAAAGAAATTACCTTTTCCAAATTGCTGTACTTGACACTGCAGAATTCACAGAAGCCCTTCTTTGCAACTTTACTTTTGGACGTAGTTGCCTCCCTCTGTTTGGCTGCTTTACTTATGGCCTTCTTGCTCAGGGACTGACTTCTACTCAACTCTTTCTGCCTGAGATTGTGGAAGTAAATGGGTGACATATATCATTTTTTTAGAAATCCAGGCTGAAGAGACAAATACTGTTACTATTCTTAAAGTAAGCAGAAAATCAGAGAAACAGACTGTGAAGGTGTGAATTCATTTGGAAAAATAATAAGAAAGTTATACAAGTATGGTAAAAACGGTCACTCATAGAGTTTACTTTTAAAACCGGTCACTTTTTACTTTTTCGAGGCACTTCTTGATCAATATGAAGCGCAATTTGTTTAAGGCTTCGATATTACACCATATCACAGACACTGATAACAAGTAGGGGCGTGCATCTCAGATTTAATATTGGTAAAGGATGCCTTTAAAATAAAAAGGAGCAATATCCATACAAAATATCAACCCTATAAGAATTTTATGGTTGAAATTTCAGGGGTTGAAAATATTCTGTATAAAATCAGCCTAAATAGGGTCAATAAATTGATTGGATGAACAGGAAATATTATCTAAAGTAGTACATTTGGCAAGATATATCACATCTTCTGTTGAAAAAATGCAAGAAATGCAAAGAGCATTTATGCCCCATCTAATAAATATTTCAACTTTGGCCATCTTGTGAAATAATCCACTGCTCATTCGGTGTGTACGCGCACACTTGCGCATAAAGTCTATGGAGTTGTAAAGAGGCATTACTATTACAATTTCCCAATACTGTGTACAGTGTGAATGAGTTGTGGCTTATTTTACAAGAATGCCAAACTTCCTAATTACCATCATGGAGGGTGTTTCACAAGTCGAACTTAACTCTAAGTTGGACTTAAAATTATGGAGAGCTATTTGTAGCCGTAAAATGAAATATATTCAAAAGTAAATATTCAAGTATTTTAGATTTTTCATAAATTCCACATCAAGGACATGAAATTTCCTTGATAATGGAAAATACAAATGATTTGAATCAACATTTTATGCCTTTTAAAATAACTTTTACAATTTTTTTTCTTCAAAGGTGCTAACAGCATTCCATAATTGTTAAGTCCAACTTAGAGATAAGTTCAACTTTGTGAAACACCCCCCTGGTGCACTCCAGCAAAGCATAGAGTCAATGCTAATGCGTATTGACCTCTAGTACTGCATACTTGCTGAGAGGCAGGTATTTATACACAAATACACACACCTCACACTATTGCATAGACTGCACACAATAGGACCGATTGGGCTGATCGGCAAATTTGACACTATACTTACCATTTAAATTTTTTAATTATTCTTTAACAGCAGTAAATTGAATTTTTTTTATTTTACTGCTATTTACGTGTTATCGATTGTCACTAAAGTACCCATTTTGAGTGAAATCAGGTGAGTTTTGTACAGTGGTGTTTGAAATGTTGAGAATTAAAAGCACAGCTTTTAATACACAGCCAGGATAATAATGCAGCTATGTGTGCCCTGGTTTAATGATTCCATGAGTATGGCTTACCTAACATCTGGTGTTCTCTGGCTTGCATCGGGTCGATCCTGTGTTCTCTCAGCTCCCTGAACATGGCTCTCGTTACGGGTCTTAGGGTCATAGGGACAGGTTCCTTTCCTCGTGTCCAGCAGGATACGAGGCCATGTGCCAAACTCCTTGGTGATTGGCCGGAAACGTCTGCATAATGGAGAACAAAATATTCTACTGATTATAGCCTGTATAATGAAATCTGTAAAAAAGACCACTCAAGGGAGAGATGAAATCACAGGGGGATGCTGAGTACTGGGCCCCGTCTTATAAAGAGTTGCGATTGATCCAAATCAATCGTAAGTCGTAAGTCAATCAATCTTAAGTCCTCCAAACTATCGCCAGTTTGCAGTCTCCTATATCTTATGTACATAGTTGCCATTGATATCGATCGTAAAAAACTTAAATTAATATCAACTCTTTTTAAGACGGGGCCCTGGCTTCTTCCATACAATTTCAATGAGAAACACTGTTCAAGGGAAAACTAAAAGTGTGATAAATTTTACACAGGTGAACTTTCTACACAGTCGATCACTAAACAAAATTTGACAAAATGAGCAAGAATACAATTTAGTATGATATGTGTACATTTGTTCACTTTTAAATTGCACTATAATGTAGCAATGGCAAAGACCTGGGCCCTGTCTTACAAAGAGTTGCGATTTATCAAAATCAATCGCAGGTTTACAATCTGCTACATCTTTATGTGTACATGGTTGCAATTAATATCACCTGTAAGACAGAGCCCTTGCATAAAAACACAGCACATCAATCTCAGATTTCAACATTCAATAGATAAACAGGATTGCACTGTCATGAGAAGTGCTTTAAAATCTGCCTCATGGAATAAGTTAAAATAGCTTACCTTGACGTATCTTCGGCCTTGAGATATGGCTTGGTCAACTGCCTCTCTGTAAGACATTGAGGAAAAAATACACGATGAGAGAAAGGTGATAAGTACGTGGAGCAGAAGAGGGCCATAATTATATAACATTTTGTAAAAGAAGAGAGAGACTGAAAGAGAGAGGGACAAAGGAAGAGACAGAGACAGAAAAAGAGGAACAGAGAATAGAGATAAAGACAATATAAGAGAGCAAGAGAGAAAAAAGTTTAAAAAAACAAAAAAGGATTCAGTAAAAGAGAGCAAAAGTAAAAAAGACAATTGAGTCATAGATACAGAAATTATAACTGATTTCTACTTTATTTTACATTGAGATGATGAACACTACTACAATAATGTTGCATTCTTCACTTTTACAAGAGCTATTTTCATTCATTTTATGGCTTTCATCATTATATTCGACTAACGATTACCCCACACAAAGCTTTTGCATAGTCCTTTCTCGAAAGCAAAAAAAGCTTACAATGTACATACAGTGAAGCAGAAGAGGATATTTTATTAAAAAGATATTATTTTCTACAAATACCTTTTGCCTTGATGCCAGTCTTCTCCTTGTTGCTCTTCTTCTGAAAAAGAATTAAAAATATTCTGTTAAGTGCAGTTTGTGGTCATTGTATCTCTCCATTGATATCAAACAAACCAATAACATTAGCGTATAGGGTTTCATGACCCCCCCCCCAAAAAAAAAAAAAACAAACAAAACAAAACAAAACAAAACAACAACAAAAACAGAAAAAGGTGCATTTTAAACAGAAATTTTTGCATTACACAAAGCAATCAAAAGTAATCAAAAATATTTTACAATTATTTTTGTATGCTTAAAGGTAAACAATTTAGCAAAATCCCATGTGGTGCAAGTCCAAAATATTGACTATATACCATTTTACAATGCTGAAATTACACATATAATAATAAAGCTCACAAAATACAAAATGTGTGACGGAGAATTCATTATTGTTTAAGTAACTTACCTTGTCCTTTCCACTGAGTTTCAATTTCTCTTTCTCACGACAGAGGTACTTCAATAGCACTGATGATGTGAGTTAAGGATATATAACATCTAGAACCAATTAAATGTCCATACCTAATCAATCCTGCACTCAAGTTCATAAGAGGGGGGGGGGGATGGGAAGACTTCCTCAAGTTCAAGCTCCATGTCTTCTTCTTTTTCTTGTCTGGCTACAGACGTGTCACCTTTCATGGACTCATAATATAACAGTCATCAAACGTTAAAGTCTAGAGTTTTCCCAATATTCTTGGAATTTATAGCAATTTATTCCCAATGTTTCTTTCATGCCTTGTTCAGATACGGCTCAGAAACAGCCATGGCGGTCTTTTGCACTGGTTTACTGCTCATATCTGAAGGAGCTTTTCAGGGCAAAATCAACATACTTTTTTTAAATCAAAATTTTACTTTGGTATAGAAGAAAAAAATGCATTTATCAGGACTCTCCAAGAAACAAAATTAGCATAAGCATTTAAACACTCATTGCTCAGTATATGATTGAATGTCACATAATATAAAAGTATGACAAACATGTAAAGGATACCATCCAAGTGCTTGACAGGAATATTCCAGTTCTTTGCATTGGTCAGCACATCCGTTGTACCATACATCTAAGGATACAAAGGAGACAGATACCATTGTTATGAAATTAATGCAAAATAATACTTTTTAAGGCACAAATAGTAAGACAATAATAATAAATAATTAAAACAGTGCTTATAAAGCGCTTACCACCAAAGTCTCTAAGCGCTAATCAATTGCCTCTCTTTAAATTGGCAACTATTGTATTTCCATTTCACCCATTTCACAAAGCTTTTTTCAATGACAAATGATGATAACCAATCAGAAGCAAGGATTTCAGTAGCTTGTAACAAAAATTTGTCACTGATGAAAGCCCCCTTGGTTTCACTCCAATCCTCATTTTCTTTATTCCATAAAAGTACAGTAATATGAATGGTCTTCCATTATTTTAGCTTTCTATCAAGGTATCTTCTCTTGGTTCGAGGGGTTACTTGCAACATTTTTTCACACATCTCTGTTTCCTACCATCCCATTACACCACTAGCAAAGTGATCACAAATAAGAAAAACATTGCACCACAAAGAAAATGAATGATTCAAAATGACTACCGAATCATGTTTTCTGAGTAAACAACAATCCACTCCAAATTTCTCCCATACAGGCATGACAGGTATTTTCTCATTTCATTATGAAAAAAAATGATAAAAAACTTTTAACTGCTCTGTGAAGAAAGCAAAACAAGATTTATCTTAGGCGAGGCGTCAAAAATATCGATACCAGCAGGCTGCCGCCTCATGTATTGGCGCATCGAGGCTGCAATTATGGCCGAAGCCTGGCTGGGGCAATTATTTTTCACTTATTAACCCAGCCGGCTTGCGCCAGGCTGGGATCTGAGGCTCGGTTTCCATTCGAAAGGCGGCAGCCGGCGCATGCTTTTGAATGCCATTTTCTACCGCCAGCAGTAGCCGGCTGAGCTAATTTAAAAAATGCAGCCAGGACGCACAAGTGCAGTTAGCTGCCGCTGGCTGGTACATGTATATTTATTTTTGACGTCTCGCCTTAAATGATGCTCACCTGAGATTTTGTTGCTTTTTGAACAATGGCTTTTCCCCTGGTGACCTGTAGAGAAATGAGAAACAATGACACATAATGAAACGGGTCGGAATACATTCATCAGATCCTGATACTTTTTCTATGCTTCACAGAATAACTGTAAATCTGTATGTAGACTTGAAGGTCCACATTCTACTTAATCAGTTAATACCCAAACCTTGGTCTAAAATTACGTTCAACAAAAGGAAAACTTAAACTTAAAAAACTGAGTCCTTTTAAAAACGAATCGTTTATTAAACCTGAATTTGAACAAGGGCCTAAACCCAGCGGCATGTTTAAAAGTAAGTACAATACGGATAAAAAAGTACAAACTCTGTACTATGTAACAGATGTGAAGAGGAGAAAGGGGACAAAATGAGAGATTATCATTATGTACTTACTATTCTTGAATCTTTAGTGATATTGCTTGGAGAATCAGCAGCACCAGGTGTAGTACTATGTAGAGACGAAAAGGAAGAAAGAATACACCAACGTAAACTTTAAAAGAATTAAACTATAGATAATTATGTTTTGACGTAAAACTTAAATCTATCACTTCAATCCCTTTCCAAGCCGTGAAGTCCTTATAATAGTTCATCTACAAATGATGCAATACTACTAAATGTACATTCAGAAGATATGGGCCATGAGGATACTACAAAATGCATCAGTACTGATGGCATCTTCAAGATCACATTTGGTTTTCATATTTTGTTAGGGTTTAACCTTTCCCCTCACTGCTACCTGCTTATTGTTATGTGCATTAAGGAATTTGGTTGAATGCATTGGGTAGTTATAGGCTCCACCGCACTCTACATAGCTCCAACAGGTGATGCATATCTGTAGTGGGTGGGTTGCCTAACCTAGCAGTTTAGTATCACTATATGCACAGAAGTCATACAGGCAGGACTTATGGATTGGAGGTGAATGAAAGTTGAATTTTCATCGTTAAAAAACATGGCATTTTAAGCTGCAAGTCTAAGTTCCATGGAGTATCAAGATCACCAGGACTGACATTGAGGCCTGCCCCGATTCCCTGCATTTAGTCAACCAAGTCAAACTGTTGAATCCATATTTGTATTACTTTTCCTAATGATAAATTACATGTGTTTATTTGTCATTGAGAGAGTCAAGGTCACAAGTGAACCTTTGAATTAGAGATAAAGAATGAAGACTGCGAAACATATCTCTAAAGTAATTAATGTCACTATTTCAGGGCTGTCGTTTAAAGCCGGTAACCGGTAAAACTTGCCGCCTACTCACTCGTTTCTTACCGGCTATAATTCCTATAATAAACCTTGCAAAAATCACAGAAAGTAGATCTAAATCAATGCTAATCCAAAATTTCCTTAATTTCGTCCAAGATATAATTAGTGCCGCACATACACGGCCGCAGTCGACGAAATCCCTTACGATCATGAACGCGACGTCGTCCGTACTTACCTAGACCTATCTATCTAACGTTACATCGCAGTTCTCCCCCCACAGCGTGGCGGCCAAGCCCGCCCGTCCCTACCCCATTGCGATCCCGATGTGCACGCGAGAAGACGATGCACTGCACAAAATATATACACACTGATCATAACAAAACTGAAGCTAGCTCCCTGTTAACCAAACTATCCGTTGCCGATTTGATATTTGAAGATCACGGAAACCGGGGCCTATACACGTGCGTGCAATGTCTAGAGACAACGTACTTTAGATTCTGAGATGCGCAAATCGGCAACAGAGTTTTGAACTCGGCTGAGTTTAGTGCTGAGTGCTGAGGTCTACAAAGGACAAGATAGACTAAAATAGAAGCCAATCGGTTAATTCATTTATTTTATTTTCATTTATTTCCTTAAAAAAGTTGAATAAACAAATATACAGTGTCTTCACTTTGTCAGGAAAAACAGTGATATAACATTATAAATGAACAGGAACTGAAGTAAATTCTTAAATGTATTCAATAATTTCATGTCAAAAAAAAATAATTAAATGAGAATTCATATGGGCCAAACGAGCCAAATAAAAGTCACAAGTAAAAAAAAAATCAAAATCTAGCCTCTGCTGCCCATTATTTAAATACTGTACATGTATTCAACAAATCATGATGTAGAAAGATTGAGTATGGTGCATCATCTCAGTTTAATTAAAAATTACAAAGTAATGGTACAAAGTGATAAATAATTATCAACTTAATAACTTTTCTTATGAGTTATGATTGTTCATGTAATATTAAACATGAACAATATGTGTGTTTATTACAATATATGTGTAATACAAGGTAGGAAAGATAACTATAAATTTTCTTTTTTAGGTATGCACCAGATTGCACGATTTCAAGTTGAAAATCCCAAAAGGTCCCTACCGTGGGAGGGGGGACACCCCCCTCCCATACCCTCCCCCCCTCGGTCGCTTCGCTCCCTCGCAGTGATGGTACCTCCTATAAAATTCAAATTACCTCCTTCAAAAATGATTAACAAGACCCCTGCTATTTATACACTATTTTGTTTATTTATGAATGATAAAGGAAAGTACATGTTTGCAGGATATGAACTCAGTAATTCAGGCTCTTTCGAAATTTTGGAAGGATATTTGTATATAATGTAATTCATTATGACAGAAGTCTTCTTTATTTTATGTATTTTATTATATTGACTGATGATGATTATAGTTCTCGCCATAAGATATAAGTATATGATGAATACTTTGGTATTATTCCATAGACTATTCATAGCTTGGGTTAACATTTAAATTACGAGGTGTTCTGGCTAGGATATAAAAATTCCTCTTGTCAAAGTTTCATGCCACAATGGGTGGATCCCTACCAGTAACTACTAAGGTGAGTTGAAGGTGCTACCAGATGGAGCAACACCTTTGTTATGGTGGTCATAGCAGTCAGGCTTTAACCACAGACAACTAAAGTTTCAGCAACAGTTACAGCTATGGTTTCTTCATTCTGGATAAACAACTATTTTAATATCACATCTTGGGAGTGATTGCATCACCAAAGTGGTTTATTTTGTTTATATCTCCAGACTTTAAAACGATAAACCTACAAATATTTTGGTGTCAATACTCTGTATAAACGTGTTACTCTGTGACAGCTAAGAATACAACCTCAGGGTTTGGATCAATATAATCCTTATATCTTTACATGTATTTCTATTGTTATTTATAGAAATAAAGAAATAAAGATAAGGAGATGATTTTCTTTGATACACTTCACAAAATTTGAATTCTTTGTTTATTGTGTTAATCTTCCTGTAAGATGGTCAGAGAGTCTTAACTAGACACAAATTATAGTCACCTCACTTTACCCAGTTGTGACACCATAGATAATTATGTCTTGACGTAAAACTTCAATCTATCACTTCAATCCCTTTCTAAGCCTTGAAGTCCTCCTAATAATTCCTCTTTGAATGATGCAACACTACTAAATGTACATTCAGAAGATATGGGCAAAGAGCATACTCTCAAAATGAATAAATACTGATGGCATCTTCAAGATCATACTTTGTTTTCGGTTGACTTTACTTTATCATTATAGCAAAATATAAAGCTTGACACCTAGTGCCCAGTTTGACACTATTTACCCCTATAGTAGTAGTTTTGAATACTATTGAGCTCTCCTCTACTACTACGGCACTAATGTCCTTTGGCAAAGCATTAATCTTCATTTGCCACATTCAACCCAGGTGAGATAAATGGGTACCTGGCAGGAATTAATACCTTGAAATGCTGGAGGGCTGTAATGGCAGCTAGGCTAAAGCCGGGGTAATAATTAATGCACCTCAGAATAGAATTTCTAGATAGACGGCGCTATAGAAATGCCTATAATTATTATTAATTATTAAGTTTCAAGAATTACATTTTAAATTTGAATTTGATTTTAATGTAATGTGGCTGCCAAATACGTATACTTTATCCTCTGGATATAAGCTTTGCAATGCCACTTTTTTTCCTCAAAGATGCAATAACAGTTATTTTATCAGAAACAAGGCATGAACCATAGGCTTGCCGTCATCAGCTTGAGTTTGCCAAATAACCTGCTATCTTCAGACTCGGGATATTATCCCGAAGCTCGAAATTGCGTCTTCACCAGACTGATAAGCTCACCACAAACTAGCTCTGATGGGCGCAAATTAGCCCACTATTTCCAAAATAGGGTGATATTTTGGAAACAAGACCAAGATTTCATGGGATATTATCTCAACCAAATATCCCGCTAATTGCAAATGCGGGCTGTTGAAGACGCAAATTAACTGGTTAATTTGAGATCGGGATAGTTAAATAGCGGGTTATTTGGCAAACTCAAGCTAATAAGGACAAGCCTCATGTAGGTATTCGAGCAGAATCTGCTTGCCCATAGCAATGAAAGGGTTAACACTTACTCTCTGCCCTGATGAAATGGACTTGGGGTTGATACGGCAGGGCTGGTACCAGACGGCACACCCTTAGATATCTTCTCTACATCCTTTGCTTCCATCCTGTCTGATATCACACACGCTAGCTCCTTGGATAAAAACGGCTCCACAACCTACGGATTGGAAGAAAGAAACATTGCAATTGCAATTGACTATTTTGGGCATTTGAAATTTTCAATGATAAAAAGTGCTTGATTTTCTTTGTTATAATTACATTTATATCCTGCATCAAAAATTTGTTGGCTTTTGATTGGTTGAGAGCTCGTCACATGACCAGAAATATTTGAACTATTTTTAGAAAGTACTATATGAGAGTACTTTTTGAGAGTCCTATTTTTTCTTCAAATCTTAATTTAATGAAAACAAAATATTTTAAATCTTTTTAGATAAAAATTGACATTTTCTTTGTTTGATGCAGGATATAAAACAAATATACCATGCCTTCTATTCGAGGTACTGGTTAAAACTATGGGCCTCGGTGACTCCAAAAGTATCATTTGCGTACTATTGGAGTCACCTCTTGCGCATAGTTTTAACCAGAACCTCTCAAGACAGTGTATATTTGTATACTATCTTCATAGCTTTAGACTTAGACTTGATGAGCTGTACACCATTAAAATGACTTTTTAACATGTATCTTTCCTTTGTGAACTACAGTACAAGAACATATCCAGAGCAAATTCTCATAGCTTGCAAAGGAAACACAAGGAAACTCAGTTCAATCATTTTTGCAATCATTTGAATTAAGTTTAAGTATGTTGTAACGCACATTCTCTATGGACTTCTACCCATCATCATCATCATCATCATTTGTTAAAGTCAGCATTTTACCTCTTTCGTGGCGTTACCGATTTTTGCCCCATGATGACACTCCCTCCACTATTTTCTTGTCTCGAGCACTTTCTTCATTTCGACAAACCTTATTGCTTTCTTTCTTTCTCCACCAAATCTTTCCATGAAGTCTTCAGCTTCCTTTTTAGTCCACCCACTTCCATATTCCACGCTCATTTCACAGGTGCATCATTTTCCCTTCTCAACACATTAACCATCCATTCATTTGAAAAGCTACCTTTCACAAAACAGCTTTAATACTTAATTCAATTATAATCACAGGTGGAATAAGCACCTTCAGCTTGCACAAGTTCTCTAGTATGCACTAAGAGTGTGCACCCATTCAAAAAGTGAATCAAGAAGGGTGTGTATCTCCCTCTAAATATCAGATTATTTAAAGCCTGTCTGCACTAGTTTGGACAGGGGGATTGGACCTCCCTGCAAGGTCACTGATAGGTGGTGATCTCATCAAAGCACCTCTCAATTAACATACAAAAAGGGGATCATGGGGGACCAACAGGCACTGTTTGCTTTATAGAGGACGCAAGCAGCTATAAGTAGTGCAGTGGGGCTTTAAAACTTCAACCATCTGACAATTATAAAGGAGCTTTGATGTACTCACCCCTCCCAATTCTTCTACATCAGCTTTGAGTTTGGTGAACTGATGTTTGCGTCTTGGCCCCGTTAGCTCCAAGTAAAACTTTTTCCCTTCCAGAGGCTTCTTTGCAGGAAAGTCCAGTTTCCTCCCTCGATTACTTGGTTCACCTAGAGGTTAAAAAATAATCATGTATCATGAACATTATTCAATAAAGAAACCATTTTCCCTTTTTAAATTGTTGAATGAATCATTAATGTAATTTATGTAACTGTTACATTGAAGGGAGTGTAGCATAATGATAATTAATACAACTACGGAAGACGCGATCGTAGTATTCCAGTGCATGCAACATACGCAAAACCGAAGCGCGAGGTGAACTTCGGTCTGCTTCGCGAATGCTAGCACGCGCTGTCTGTTAATCAAGTCCATTCGTTTACGTGCAGTTGTAAAAAAAAAAGTCATAGATGGCATTAACCAGTATTTGCCATGCTACACCCCCTTAAAAGATCTGAGAATGACAAAAAAATTTGATTTTCACAGAAGGAAACCAAACTAGCACTGAATTACCAAATCCGTAGAAAATCTAGGGAAGACCTCTTTTCATAAATGGATCACAGTCTAACATTGGTATATTGATATAGTCAGACAAAAACAAGAATGCAACACATACACAACACATCCGTAACGTTCAGGTCTTCTGAATCATTTCTTGCAATTCTTGCGATGAAACCAAGTGACCATTTATTTATTTATTTATTTATTTCTGATATTTAGACAGGGTGACTCATTATCAACAATAATTGAGGTCTTCCACAAGGCCCTGTTAAACATAATAAGGAACAATAGTTTTTAAAGAATAAAAAATAATAATGATAATAACAAAATCATGAACAAAAACTCACAACAGCAACAAAGAATAAGTAAGAACATGTACATATAAATATACAAAGTATTTGGTATCTTCGTAATGAATGAATGGTTTGTTTATTTATTCATGTAAGCCCCCATTTAGAAAAAAGGGTCAAATGGTGTCTAAGGGACCAATAAGGAGAGTAACAAACCTTTGCCATCATTACTAGGCCCAGCGACGGGTAGGCCAGGTGGGGTCTTGCTTCTGGACTTCTTCATCTTGACTTGGTCTCGTTCACACACTAGACACTATACGATTTGTAATTAGCGCCTCCAAGAGGCTGATCACGTTTCCTGCACAGCCATTGTTCTGATTGATAAGGAACAAAAAATGGAGACAGGATAATTGATGCTCAATGAAAATTAATCCAAACCTCCTTGGCATGAACAGGATTTTGATACATTTTATCATGAATATGAATGTTTTTTAGCACAGCATATCAAGCATGCATCGCCCAAAGATATGGAAATTAAATCAATAATAATGGGGATGCAAAAGACAAATGGGTTTAATCTCTGGATCCTTTAGCACTGGCGTTTCTATAGGCCTATACGTCACAACCTGGCCAGTAGCCCAATAGCCCATCCCCCTTTTACAATGAAAGCAAATAGGTTTTACCTTAGAATACGAAAGGAAAACATGCCCCTTATCCAAAGACTATAAATCAAATAACCCCCTAAAAGAAAATATGACGTTTATTGTTGTTTGCTCGAGAAGATTTGTACATTCTCACCTAAGTATGTGATACGTTTTCTTTCCTTGCTTTGCTTGTCATTTTTTTGTATTGTGTCCCTCCCCCCAGCCCCTTCACAAAAACCTGGGTCTTCCTCTGATTTGGTAACACTTTAATCTGAAGCACAGGTCTAGTAGTACTAATATGGAGAGCAGAGGTGCACGACAATGTGGGAGACTCTTTCCTGTTTGGAGAATAACTGTCTCTATTGTCGGAGACTTTTGTCAAAATTTTTAATAGCCTGTTTGGGAGAGTCGCCCTTTCAGGACAAGTATTGTCTTTCCATCTTTGTTACTATTTGTTGCAAAGAGACCGCCTTGGCTCGACTTAAAAATGTGATAAGCAGGTTCATCATGAAAAATTACCCCCTTTGACAGTCTACTCTAAAAAATCCACCACCTAGATCTAGTTCTGGATGTAGGCCTAGACTACTTGTGATTAAAATTTTCTAACATATTATTGGTTCCTCAATATCATTCATTGATCCACACTCAAAACAATTGCTTTTGTTTTGACCTAGCTCAGAAGTCAGATGCAAAGTGGCAACATTTTTTTTTTTTTTTTTTTTAAATGTCAAAATCGGGGGTGTGGCCTATACGGCGCTGCGGCCTTATCGCCGGCAAATACGGTAAAAGTAGACAGTCAGGTAGGGTTATTTTCCCCTGGGGAATCCAAATTTGGCATTGCCAACGGGCGGTTCGGTAACCCGAAACCTGCAGAGCGCCAATGAAAAAAAACATCCACAAAAATGCAGACGATCCTTGTTTATGAGGACACATTTTGTCCGCGTTTATGAGGATATCCTCATTCTCGGACCAGCGCCCCTACTGTTTAAGAGCCCAATATGTTTCCCAAGACCAAGTGGGAGAGAATCTTCAAAACCGCCCAATATGCATGTAGACCTAGCCACCTACTAGATCTAGATCTAGACTTCTAGAGTCTACGCAATAAAAATGTCAGAGCATGATCACCGACAATGCAATCCCAGTTGCCCCGGTGGGGTCACTCAATGTGACTTCCGGACCGCATGACCGTTACCACAAATGCATATAACCCCCTTTTGCGGTCAATTTCAAGGACATTTTGTGAAATTTAACCCCCTTTTTTACGTCAAAACAAGGACAAAATCGTACTTTGGAATACCCCTATTTATAAGATTGTAAGGACACTTTCGCAAATTTACCCCTATTTTACCATATTTCAAGGACAAGACTCGGCTCCGAGAATTTTTCTTCCTGGTTTTCTCTTTTACCTTCCCGGTATTCTCTTTTCCCTTTTCCTGACCCCTATTTATCAATTTCGAGGACACCTGTGCCCCCCCCCCCCTATTTTCTTTATTTCGAGGAATATTTTGTCCGCGGACATTGCTTGAAATTGACCCCTTTTTCCGCGATTTTGGTAACGGTCATGCGGTCCGGAAGTCACATTGAGTGACCCCACCGGGCCAGTTGCACTGCAGTCTGATCTAGATCTACATCTAGAATAGTCATAATTATGAAAAAATAAAATTCCAATTAAAATTCCCGTAATGGCGATAGATGTATACTGATTTATCTTATACATCATATATGCAAAGCAAATTCACTGAGAACTTACCCTAAATCACAAATTTAATTAATAAAGAGATTTTTTTTTTTGCCAAAAATGGCACTGCCACTAATTGCCCACTTCCGTACGCGAAATCTCTCAAAATTGAACCCGGCCGGGGCGGGAAGGGTATCATTAGCACTGGTATGTTCTATCGCTGAAAGCTTGTGGGCCTCTGGAGTTGTCAACATTCAATCACAAATTACATAAGCTTTCCGATAATACCACACTTTAAGGTGGTCCCTACCGGTCTCATAGTTCATTTCGTAAAAACAGCACAAATAATCGCTCATACACGGTCAAAATTGCTCTTACTACTGAGCTCAAAGGTGATTTTGAAGACAAAGACAGATCGGGTTGACGGTGATTCTGATGTCAGAAGCTTTGTAAAGTTTTCCAAATAAGGTAAGTGCTAATAAATATTCATGAGAGGTGAATCACAAATAAAGAAAGTGAAATTCATCCGCCCCTCGTATTGGCACACACTGCACAAAAGCATGTTCGCTGGTGACAAAGAGTCCAATGCAGCCAGAGGGTGATTTTGCAATATCGCCCTCATGCGGTCATTAGGGACCCTATCTAGAAGGGTCTAGTGTAGTTTTGTTTACATCACTCTTCACACAGACAAATGGTAGCCAACTAAGGCTTGGTGATATCATTATCATATTTCATATTAATCCCCGAGCACTAGCCCTAGGGACACGGACAATCACATCGTTTTACACAATGTGAGACGTTCGTAGACCTAGCGCGCGCTTTAAAATTTAAAGAGCCGCTTCATATGCACTGAACACAAACACACACAAAGCTCATTGCCAAAATTACAAAAACACAAATCTCGATCTCGATCACTCGCCAAAAAATTAGTCACAGAAACAAAATGATACGATTTTTACTTACACCTAAAGTGCATGATCATGACATTGAGGTGCACTAGATCTAGGTTAGAGACAAACGCTGCAGACAAGTAATAAACGACAAAATATCTTACAATCCAACCAACACATTTGCTCACCTGCAATGGTTTTACTACACTGCCATTTTCATTCACGGTTTACGGGTTTACGTTTGTTGTACGTGCCCGGTGGGTCACGTGATACAGACGCGGGATGGAATGGTTTTGATAGCAGCTAGCTCACAGCTGGCTGCGAATGCGAGAGATATTTTCAAGTGAGAGAAATTGGGATTGATCAGAAGATGATGGATGGGTGAATGGAAGGATGGATGGATGGATGAATAGATGGATGGATAGATAGATAGATATAGATATAGATAGATAAGAGATAGATAGAGAGATAGAGAGATAGAGAGATATAAAGATAGATCCGGAGATAGATATAAATAGATGGATATATATATGGATGGATGCATGCATGGATGGGTAGATATAGATTGGTAAACGGATAGATTGATATAGATAAATAAATGGAAAGATATATAAATAGATATAAAGATACATGCTACAGATGGCTGTAAAGATAGATAGGTAGGTATGGGTAGGTTGGTAGACAGATCTATAGGTTGATAGCTGATAAATGAATATAACTGGTTTAATTGATTTGCAACAGATTCGACTTCAGAGAAAAAATAGTTATAAGGACAAGACTGAATGCAATCGAATAAATCTGTTGCAAGAAGAGATTGGAAATATTTTGCCATTGGGGCATATTATGAGAGAGAGAGAGAGAGAGAGAGAGAGAGAGAGTGAGAGTGAGAGATAGAAACTCGTCTCAAGAAAGTTGTTATTGCTCTGCAGCCCACGCTTCCTCCTTATCTCAATCTTTTGTTTCTCCCTCTCGACTCCCTTCCTCGTTCTGCAATCTTTGCTTTTTTTTCGCCCTCTCTTTCTATCTGTTGCCTCTTGTTTACTTTCTACTTCCTCTTTCTCTCTCTTCCTCTCTCCACCCCTCTCTCTCTCTCTCTCTCTCCCATCTTCCTCTCTGTTACACACATTCTCTCTCTTTCTCTCTCTCTCTCTCTCTCTTCCATCTTCCTCTCTGTTACACACATTCTCTCTCTTTCTCTCTCTCTCTCTCTCTCACTCTCACTCTCTCCCTCCTCAACCTCAAAGTCTGGTGAAACTTATTGAGAAATTAAACTAAACTGAATTTAAAAAAAAAAAAAGAATCAAAAGAATAATTGGGAGTTGGAGGGATATTTCAACATATTTTATTGCTTTCAATTTGTATAGTTGACAGCCAGCTGCCAAATAGCTTTTCCCATCTGTATGAAAATTGGCATAACTGACCCTGAGATAATATGCATGTTTGTCATTTCCTCTCTGGAGTGAGAAATAAAATGATCTTGTTGTTTGCATTAATTATTTGGCAAGTGTGCTAAATACACCATCACCCCCCCCCCCCCCCCCCCCCCCCCACAAAATGTCATACTGATTTTTATCCCCCTTTTTTCAGACTTTCTCTTTGAGTTTCAAAAAATTGCCAAGACAATGACATAATTCCACTAATTGGTACATGGGTGTAGTTCCAGGATCAACAAAGTATTCTTTTCAATGAGGGGGGGGGGGGAACTCCTTTAGTCTGGGAGCCAGATTGAAGAAGACAAAAATTATAGAATATTTTCAGTCTTGTAAGATTGACCACCTTCTTGCATACTCGTAAAATAGCTTTTAATAGATACAATTCATTGTACATGAACAATATAATATATTTGTATAAATCAGAATCAGAATTTCAAATAAACAAACTGCTACTCTTCATGGTAAAATAATATACATGGTATATGATACAAATATATGATATCAGGCCTGTACGATACAGTGAATAGAGCTTAATTAATATAACATCCTAAATAACGAATCAAATTATTACACACAGACAGACTTATAGCAAATTATAGTCAGAAAATTTTAATTTTTAGACAATAATAAATTTAACTCACAAAGTCCATGTACATGTCAGAAAATAAGCCTGGACACATGAACTGTAGAATAAGTTTTCAAAAGTATAGTCATTGCTTCGATCCTTTTAGAATATAGTTTGTTTAATGTGTTATGGACCTGTTGTAGCAGACCAATTTACAAATTTTATACATACTTGTTGAACTAAAGTTTCTCTTAACTAAAAAGCTGTGTCAGAATCTTGCCCTAACATAGCAACAACTAATGTTTACAAGTGGTTTCAATGTTATTTGCATAGCAGGTGAATGAAATTACTAGTAACCAGGGGTAAGGGAGAAAAACATGCAGAAATTGAAATACATTGCTACACAGACCCATTTGATTGATTCATAGTATCCAAAATCCAGTTTAAAAACTATACAGGAGTGAAAAAACTGGAAATATAATATCAAATATTCACATGATGTATTTGAACTGTCCATGTCCACATAAAGGATAATTCACTGAAGTAAAAAATAGTATTGCTACATCCGATATTGCTTTTAATAAAGTAATAATTTTTGGCAATAAATACAAGTAGGCCTGATAACCTACTTTATCTACTCGACATCACATTTTGTATATTGGTATTGATTACCGTAATTTAAGTTGACACATACCGGTACCCGGTACTGTAGAACACAATCTCAACCTGCATCAATACTATGCCAACACATTTCTGACAAAATCCTTTTGAATACATTTATGTCAAACTGGATATTTTAACTTTTTATTTATACACGTATAAACTTTGATCAACTGAGATAATATGCTATCGTAATGTGAACAAAATGACTGCATAATTCCTGTTGTATACAAGTATGTGTTTTTATGTATTTATTTCATCACAATCTTCTTTCCGATTCCATTTCCAAAAAGTTTATATTAAACTATAACATTTATAGTTATAGTAATAGAAATGAAACACTTCCTCATTACATACAGAATTCTGCTGGTGTAAATGTATTTTAATGTAGGTATAAGAACAATCTTAGGGGTAAATTGCAATAATTATTTGAATTCAAGACATATTTGTTTGTTTGTTTGTATGTATGTTTGTTGATTGTATCTGTTTGTTGTTTGTATGTATGTTTGTTGTTTTGTGTCACGTCTAATGTTCAGCAAAGAATATATTTCATGATTTTTAATTATGAAATATGGATCAAACTTTATATAAGGATGTTTATTTCAGGTTGCAGCCTATTCAGTTTATTTTCATATCCTTGTCCAATATGTTTTGATGTGTATTTTATGTAATATATCTGATTGTGTAGTGATATGACTACAGGTGTTTATGCAGGTTAATGCATACCTTCTCTGTATACACTGTCAATGTACTTTTATTTATATATTCATGCCCATGCATGCTCATTGAAGTGTTAACCATAGTTTAAGCCATGGCTTACACAAGGTACAGTGGTTGATATGAATATGTGCATACCATTCAGGTGTAGGTCTGCAACTAGTTGGACATTCTAATATTGTTTGAATACTTTTTGAGTAAGAATGAAAAGGGAAGGAGTGTTAGCTCCTTGGTCATGTAAGGAGAGAGACATGTTTTATTGAAACCATGAAAGACATGAAAGAAAAACAGAGGTGAAGAAAAACTGTTAAGATGTTGTCTTCTGTCTAATTGAAAATCAAATATTAGCAACATCCAGACCAACTGATTTTATGATCATCAATTGCAGTTACTGAGATTTAGTGTGAGCACTTTAATCAATCAATAGTGAAAAAAAAAAACATATCAGTCAAAGATTTCATATAAACTATGGTTTTGTTTTTTGTTTGCAGGTTCCACTTGTAATTGATAAGAGCAAAAAATACGACGAGATCCTTGTCAGATCCAAGGATCTCCATGTACTAATCAAGAAAGCCGGGGCATCAGTAATGCCTGCTGTAGTCCTGTTAAACGGAGCGATCAATTTCTTATAAACTGAGGTTTTGTTTTCTGTTTGCAAGTTCCACTTGTGATTAATAAGAAAGAGCAACAAGTACAACAAGATCCTTGTCAGATCCAAGGATCTCCATGTACTAATCAAGAAAGCAGGGGCATCAGTAATGCCTGCTGTGATCCTTCTGAATGGTGCAATCGATTTGGTCTTCGCAAAGGAAGAACTTGCAGAGTCCGGAGGCATGGGCAAAATGTTTAGGGATGGAAGGTGGTATAGTCAATATACACGTATTAGAAGAGCGATTCAATCACTTCCACTTGGGAATATGTTAGTACTTGCAAATCTTAACGTAGAACATAGAGAGTACGGTATATGAAATTTAAATCCACAGCGTTTGTAATAATGATATAAAATTGGTTGAGGATATGATTTCAGTAAGACAGTTGACAGTTAAAAGAATATATCATGAGTTGACTAAAACAAATATCGAAGAATCTAGAGCGGAGGAATTTGGGCGTAATACTGGAAATTGAATATATACCTGTATGGTCAGATGTTTGGTTATTTAAGTTAAAAGGTATAAAAGGCAGCTTACTAATTAATTTCAATTTCAAATTCAAGTCAACACCCGCCATCAACTCCATACCATGGAGCAAGACATCCAAACATCAGAAGTAAACTTCTCCCAACTACTGGAACTGGCTGATCTTCGGAAATGCCAGGCCTTCAACACCTCTACAGCTGGGAAAATTTTCCAGTCAACCAGACAGAAGCAGATAGTCAAATTCAACAAACTTCTAGCTAACAGCCAGAAATCAACCAACCAGACTACACCAACCGGCACCAAGGACACGGTTAGCAACACCCTTCCAATACGAAAAGCTGATGCCCGAGGCTACCGGCCAGTACATCAATCGTCAGGCGACAAGGATCAGCTTGTGTGATGTATACCTATTTATTAGTTGGCTGGTGTCTACTGCTTTTATTCTAGCAGAAAAATCACATGTCATGTACAATGGGATAGCAAACAAGACCAATCTTTAAGTTGTGTTTGTTGGTCCCCCTTTGACTGGGAAAAGTCAGGGCATCAACACTCCATGCCTGGATCCTTTGAACAGTTTCCAGCTCATTCTCTGCCCAGCTGCCATTGCTTCGAACACTGCCCTGTATATATTCAATCTCCATCTTGGAGCATGTGCTACAAAATATATCTGTAGCCTCTACCTGATTTTCTTCTTCGAAACATATACAAAATGTATATATCAACTTTACATTCTTCAAGTTTCTCTAAGTTTGAGAGAGTTTCCTCTTTTAAATTTGATTGGGCATTTCA